CATTCTTCCTGCTTCTGCCACCAAGTGCTGAGTTCATAGTTGTGTGCCGCTTTGCCCAGGTATTCAGTTTTGGTTTTTTAGTAACTTTTTAATTGAGATATAATTAACATGCTGTGACTCTGCCCTCCCCCTTTTTTATTTGCAATATGGGAACTTGAACCCATGCCAGCCATGCTCTCTACATTTAAGTTACTTCCCCCAGCCCAAGTTTGCCCTTTTAAGTTGCACAGTTAGCTGTTTGCACAATTGTGTATCATCCATCTCTGCTCTCCAATTCCAGGACTTTTTTGTTACACCCTTAAAAAAAAATCAGTCATCCTCACACTTACTTGCAGTCATTCTCCATTCCTTCCTCCCCCAGCTCTGGGATGCCATTAATTTATTTTCCATCTTTGAGAATTTGCCTGACCTGGACATTTTGTGGAAATGGAACCTGATGCTACATGCCTGTTGTTGTGTCTCCCTGGGGAGACACACACACACACACACACACACACACACACACACACACACACACACACGTCTAGTCGCCCCAGATAGGGATCTCACAAGCCAAAGTACAGATACCACAGGAGTCCAGCTTTGTGAACAACAGGGTTTACTGGGGTTACTTCCAGGAGTATGGGTGAGGGATTACTTACAGGAGCAGGAATGACTCACAGACAGCTGCATCACTAAGGCCCACCCCAGCACGGGTGACGGCTCTCAAAGGCTGGGAAACCTGGAGTCCACTGCACAGCCTGCAGGTAGCTCGGCAGATTGGAGAGCGTCCTTCCCAGGTAACTCTGCACTAAACCTCTTCCAGCTGCTCAGCTGGTTTCTCATTCTTCCAGACAGCTGGTCTGGTCTCAGAGTCTTCCTGCAGCTTCTCTCCTCTGAGAGTCTTCTTTAAGCTCAGGACTCTCAGCTTTTGTTGCCGACTCTGGCGGAGAGAGGCCTAGTGAGTCTGGTCGGTTTCAGGGACTTCCTGAACCTATTTTTGAGTCATTTACCTTCCTGCAGGATGGACTATTTTAATCTCAGAGGAAACTATTACATGACAGTGTCTGCCATGTCAGGATAGCCTGGCTCACTTCACATGGTGTCTTCAAGGCACTCATGCAGGCCTGAACATCAGGACTCCATTCCTTTCACGACTAAGTTTTTATTGTGGACACACCATGGTTTGTTCCTCCGTTCCTCATCTGGAGGCCATATTGGGTTGGAGGCTTTATTTGTAGTTTACTTCAGAGAGTGTTTAGTCTATAGCTTGTCAGCCCACTACCGTGACCCCTTGGCCATTCCTAGTGGCTTTTTAATCATCTCATGGGCGCACATGTGATAGCTGGAAGCCCTTAGAGATTGGGTCTCTTCACTTCCATACTGTGATTGGGAACTTGGTGGAGCTGTGGTCACCTAGCTTGTGGATTTCTAGGGAGGCAAAGGAGTTTTCTCTGTGTGGGTTCTCCAGAACCACTCGCAGCAGAAGCCACAGACAAGGCATCACTCAGCCTATGATGGCCCGGCCCATTTCTAGGTGGGAGTCTGACCAGAGCACCACCTCATCACTCCGTGGGCATCTCCCTCTGAGCTCTCCCTTCTCAGCCCCTGTCCTGGTACACCAGCTCTGAAAGGGCTTGTTTTGTGACCCCCATGCTTAAATCCTCTTTTGAAAGGTCTGGGGCTCTCTTGGCAGCCTGGTGGCATCTGGATTCTATCTCTATCTCCCTGTCTCATTGGTGTTCCCAAAGCTCTGTGTGACCTACAGGAATTTTAAGGTAGACGTAGAGTGGGCTGAGAAGATGTAAAAACACCAGACTCAGGAAGGAACCCTGCAGCTTCCTAGCAGCCAGCTTAGCATAACTGGTGTGCTCGAGGCAAATGAGCAACCCTGTCTCAAACAAGCAAGATGAAATGATAGAGACTTCTGAACACCTGAGGCTGTCCTCTCGTCTCCACGAGCATGCATGCAGACAGACAGACAGACACACACACACACAGACACATGCATTTGTGCACACATGTGCCCACTGAAGTTGTACTCTAGTCTCCACGTGCAAACATACACATCTGTGTATGCACACACATTCACATGTGTGCACACACTTGCATGCACCCCTGTGGACACACATGTGATAGAGCCAATCTGATTTGCTGGGAAGAGACTTTAAACTTTGACGGCTGAGACCTATCCCAGACCAGTGATTACTGTGTTGGTATTTTCCTAAATCCCCCAGTTAATTCTTCCCTGCATGCAGGTTGAAAACCACTGTTAGCCCCACTCTGGCCATCATCAAAGGCGCATTTTCTCCCACCAAGCCTTTGGAATGCAATGAAGAGCTAGGTCAAGAATTGGTCTCAGGTTGGCTCTGTATTTACTACAGAACTCTGGCCAAGTCTCTGCAATGGTGTGGGATGTCCTGTGTGCTGTGAATGCGCTGCTTTTATTGGTTGGTGAATAAAGCCGTTACGCCTATGGCAGGGCAGAACACAGCTAGGCAGGAAATCCAAACAGAGATACAGAGAGAGAGGAGATGGAATCAGGGAGAAGTCACTTAACTGCCAAAGGGGTAAGATGCCTGAGCATTACTGGTAAGTCACTGCGACATGGTGATACACAGATGAGTAAAAATGGGGTAATTTAGTTGTGAGAGCTAGTTAGTAATAGGCCTGAGCCCTTGACCTTAGAATGATTAGTTAATAAGCTGCTGCTGGAACGGTGGTTAGGAAAGAAACCAGTCCAATGGGACAGGGAGAGACAGAATAAAACTTCCAACTACACTGCACCCTTCTCAGTTTCAGTAAAACAGGGCTTGACGTGTTGGAAAGATGGCTCAGTGGTTAAGAGCCCTGGCTGCTCTTCCAGAGGACCCTGGTTCAATTCCCAGCACCACATCTACTGCAGACCCAGGAGATCCAATGCCTTCTTCTGGCTTCCACAGGCACTGCGGCTGCACAAACACACATGCAGGCAAAACACCCATACACATAAAATAAAAATAAACACATTTTAAACAAACAAGTCTTGTTTTACATCAGTGGCTTGCCTGCAGTGATGGGGAGTGAGAGGGGAAGGTTGGGGTGAGCATGTGTCTAAAGTCGCTGGGGCGCATTTTCAGAAAGAAATACGAGTGGGCAGCTCAACTCAGAAAGCTAAGAGCAACCCAGTTGTGGTTTCAAAAGCTGGTGGCATGAATCATCCCTCTCTCGGGAGGAAGTGTTCAGTGGAATTGTGCGTCTAATTGAATGACTTCTTTAAACAACAAGAAACTTCAGCACTGATTATTGTAGCATTTCCTCAAATTCCCCACCGTGGGGCTTGTGCCGTTTTGCGCTCCTGCCAGCAATAAATGAGCCTTCTTGTTTAGCTCGAGCCTCACCAATAGGATGTATTGTTAGATGGCTTGGCTTTTTGCCAATTTGATCATCGAGAAGTGGCACCTCAGGGTAGCTTTCCTTTGGGTGTCTCCATCCTGAGTGGGGCCAAGCATCTTTCCAGGGTTAAGATCAATTTGCCTTTCTTCTGTAAACTCACCCCCCAAACACACACGCCCTGAACTGGGGATGGAGCCTAGAGCCCCATGCACACTGGGCAAGCCCTTTCAACTGAACAGTATCCCCCAGTCTTTCTTCTTCTTTTTTTTTTCAAATGAGACAAGGTCTTAATCTGTTGAACAGACAGGCCTTGAATTTATGATTCTCCTGCCTCAAGCTCCTTAGTAACCGGAAGTAATTGGAATTATAGGCCTGCCCCCCTGGACCTGACTTCCCCTGCTGTTTCTTGTATTCCTAACCCATTTTCCTATTGCAGATATTTTCACCAATTCATTGTTTATTTTTATTTTTTAACCGTGTGTTTGTGTGTGTGTGTGTGTGTGTGTGTGTGTGTGTGTGTGTGTGTGTGTTTCTGGAGATGGAACCCAGAGTTTGGAACACATTGGGATAGTTTTCTATCATTGAGCTCTGCTGGGACCAAGATGGTTTGCTCTCCTTTGTGTTTTTGTTTATTTGTTTTGTTTTGTTTTGTTTTTATCCCTGCAATATTTGCCTGTGTAAGCAAATGTATTGATTCCCCTGCTTCCAACGTTTCTGGGCTTTTGAACCTTTGCTTATTGTTAGTCTCTTACGATCATTTTTGACTCTCCTGTGCTGTATCTGGTTTTGTACCCACATCTTGCTCATTGGTATTCATTCTATGTTCAGGGTCCTATGAAATGTCACTTCCTGTGAGGCAGAGATTTGCTTGCGGTGTGTGAGGGAAGAGCCCCTTTGGCGGTGACAGGGAGTGAGACTGAAATAGAAACCCAGTCTCATAGATGGCATCAACTGGAACTAGTGACCCTTTGGGTCAAGGCATGGGGCCTGGGCTAATCTTTAGCTGTGGGTTCCACCCAAGGACAGTCCTTAGTCTGGGGTCTTTCCTGGGGGAATGAACATCTCAGTCCTGAAGCAGGGGCCACAGCATCCTTTTGGTGTCTTGTTTGTCTAGCTCGATGTCATGTTGTCTGCCCTGTACTTTGGAAGTCTCTGATGAGTGAATGAAAGACAAACAAGGGTCAGCCATGAAAACATACATAAGAGAGACATCTGGAGTGAGCGGTTGTATTTATATATTTGGGAATACACACATATGTAGCAACACTTAAAGAAAGAGGCCATGAATTTGAATCAGGGGGAGGTACATAAGAGGGGATGGAGGGAAGGAAGGGAGAAAATGATATGATTATATTGTAATCTGAAAAAAAAAAAGCCCTAAATCACAACAACAAAGATGAACAAGAGCACAAATTCCATTTGCAGCCAGCAGGATGACAGTGGCCCAAGTGTGTGCAGTGAGGAGGAGCCCTGGGCAGGGGTGTTTAGTTATTTCCTCCAGGCTCTCTCCATTGTGCAACTCACTCCGTGACCTGTGGCTGTCACACACAGGCTGACTTGGGGCCCCCGGCCTGACTGTTTTGTGACCCCCTTTGGATGTGTGTCATATTTGTGATCTTTCAGTTTGGTTTCTTCTCTCCCTTTAGCATTCCTTGAAGAAAAGAGGAACCCGGTCTCTGGGGAAGACAGATAAGAAGCCCACCGCACAGGTATTTCCTCAGCACCCCTCACATACCCTGCTTGTAGTTTGGAAGCCCAGACCAACTTTAAGTGTCCTGGGTCGTCCCCAAGAGGTCCCTGTCCCCCTCGGGCCCCCCACATGTCTCGCCTGTGCATTTCCTTTCTCTGTGTGTTTTCTAGACTTCACTACCCACTGCTTCCTCCAAGCCCACTCTGGACCCATACTCAAGTGGTTTACACAGCATAGGGACAACTAAACCCAAGGTCCAGAGTCAGAGACCTTGAACTTGGACTCTGTGGCTTGATGGCCATCCATCTGAGATGAGTCACTTCAACCTTCTGATCCGTTTCCTGGTCTGTTCCTATCCTGTGGGTTTGTTGTAAGAATTAGATAAAAGCACCATGTTAGCAATCAGGATGCCAGGCACTTGTACGTTTTCCCACTTAACAGTCATTGTGTGAGAGTGCAATGTTTCTGTCCCCTTTTACAGATGGGGCTCTAGCAGGAATAGCCATAGTCAGTCAGAATGTCACTGGCTCCAAGACTCCTAGATTGTAGATAGTGTGCCCTGGCCTCTCAATATCCATGTCCCCGCTCTGCTCCCTGTGGCCTCCAGGCCTCGATTCACCCCTGTGTTCTCATAGTCAGTGCACCCAGAATGCTGGGGCTAGATCCAACCTGACAATAACGCTCCTCATTGCCTTCTGTCTCCGTGCCCATTGGGCCACAGGAGGACAGCGCAGACCTGAAATGCCAGCTGCATTTCGCGAAAGAGGAGTCGGCCCTCATGTGCAAGAAGCTTACCAAGCTGGCCAAGGAGAACGACAGCATGAAGGAGGAGCTGCTCAAGTACCGCTCCCTGTATGGGGACTTGGACGCAGCCCTGTCCGCAGAGGAGCTGGCGGATGCTCCACACTCCCGGGAGACAGAGCTGAAGGTGCACCTGAAGCTGGTGGAGGAGGAGGCCAACCTGCTGAGCCGGCGCATCGTGGAGCTGGAGGTGGAAAACCGGGGCCTCCGGGCCGAGATGGACGACATGAAGGACCACGGGGGCAGCGGGGGCCCCGAGGCCCGGCTGGCTTTCTCTGCTCTGGGTGGTGAGTGCGGGGAGAGCCTGGCAGAGTTGCGGCGCCACCTGCAGTTTGTGGAAGAGGAGGCTGAGCTGCTGCGGCGCTCCTCGGCAGAGCTGGAGGACCAGAACAAGTTGCTGCTGAACGAACTGGCTAAATACCGCTCAGAGCATGAGCTGGACGTGACGATGTCGGAGGACAGCTGCTCCGTGCTCAGCGAGCCCTCTCAGGAGGAGCTGGCGGCTGCCAAACTGCAGATCGGCGAGCTCAGCGGCAAGGTCAAGAAGCTGCAGTATGAGAACCGTGTGCTTCTCTCCAACCTGCAGCGGTGTGACCTGGCCTCCTGCCAAAGCACACGCCCCATGCTGGAGACGGATGCTGAGGCCGGGGACTCTGCACAGTGCGTACCTGCCCCTCTGGGCGAGGCACTGGAGCCCCACACTGCCAGGCTCTGCAGGGCCCGCGAGGCCGAGGCGCTGCCTGGACTGCGGGAGCAGGCCGCCCTAGTCAGCAAGGCTATCGACGTCCTGGTGGCTGATGCTAATGGCTTCTCGATTGGCCTCCGGCTATGCCTGGACAATGAGTGTGCAGACTTGCGGTTGCACGAGGCACCTGATAACAGCGAGGGCCCCAGGGATGCTAAGCTCATCCATGCCATCTTGGTGCGACTGAGCGTGCTGCAGCAGGAACTGAACACTTTCACACGCAAGGTGGATGTGGCCTTGGGGAGCTCTGGCAAGGAACAGTCTGAGCCCTTCCCTGCGCTGCCTGCCTTGGGCTCCCAGGGACCCTCCAAGGAGATCATGCTGGCCAAAGACCTTGGCTCTGACTTCCAGGTAAGCTGCCCAGGGTTCTATTACGTTTATTACATGTAAACTTTGTACTGGAACAGGCATACAACAGAGAAGGACGGAAATCCATGTGTACAATTTTACAACTCTCCTGCAGTCAACAGTCATGTGATCATGAGACCATGACCAGCCCCAAGGCTGCCCTGCTCAATCTCCCGTTAGTGACTTCCTCTGCTCTCCAGGACAACCTCCTGGTTTTATTCATCTTTGAGCTTTATATAAATGGAATTATACAAACCAAACACCATAGTACCTGGCTTTGTTCACTTGACCTGCTATTTGCTGTTACAGGTAGCAAAAATGTATTTATTCCAACTTACTAAGTATAATATAAGCCTACTGACTCAGTGAACTGCCCAGTGTGCATTTACTGTGGATGGAGATTGATTCTGAGGTCCTACCTTTTTGCTAGATTGCCCCCTTTTACCTCTCCTCTCTTCCCCCTTCTCCCCTCCTCCTTCTCCCTCCCCCTCCTTCGCCCTCTACCCCCCTCCCCTCCCCTCTTCCAGTGCTGGGGACAGAACCCAGGACCTTATACATGCTATGTAAGTACTCTACCATTGAGTCACATCCCTCTGTGGCCACTGTGGACATGTAGTAGTCACTGGAATCAGTTCTCAGATGGCCCTGGAGATCAACTCAGCTTGTCAGGCTTGGTAGCAAGTACTTTTACCCGCTAAGCTATCTTGCCAGCTGGTAATTTTAAATTTTAAAGCAAAAGTTTGTAGTTTTTAAAATCTTCTTGATAAGTTTTTGAGAAGCTTACTCTTGATATCCATGACATACTACCTAGAAAAACTATAACAGCAAAAATGTCCAAAATTTGCAAAGTATTATTGCAAAAGCAGTACATAAACATTTGAAGCAGAGACAAAAATAAATGAACACCTTGTGTCCCTGCTTACCACTTCCCGCCAGTACCTCTGTAGATGGTCTTGATTGGTGGTATTCAATACAGCCGTCACATGCAGCAACCATGTGGGGGTGTGGCTCAGTGGTAAGGCAACAAAACAGCCGTCACATGCAGCAACCATGTGGGGGTGTGGCTCAGTGGTAAGGCACCTGCCTTAGCAGGCAGCACAGGCTCCATCCTCAGTACAGAACAGAAACAAAACAAAGCTCCCAAGACAAATTTTAAAAATCAAATTAATAGCCGGGCGGTGGTGGCGCACGCCTTTAATCCTAGCACTCGGGAGGCAGAGGCAGGCGGATCTCTGTGAGTTCGAGGCCAGGCTGGACCGACAGCCTCCAAAACAATACAGAGAAACCCTGTCTCGTAAAAACAACGACAACAAAAAAATCAAATTAATAAAGGTTACATAGGACTGAAGTGCCGTTTCCGGGCTGCAGTTACATATTTCAGATGCTTGTGTCTAGTTGGTCCTGGAAACACCCCTTCTAAACCTCCATATGTCCTCTCCTGTGCTAGTTTTTCACCCCTTTTGCTCCACCTTATAGCTACTAATGCTAGATAGCGTATCTTCCTCATGTACTGTATTCCATGTCCATTTGCTGGATACTTTGTTGCTAGGCCCTACCCTTTGTGCTCACGGACAGTGTGTCTTCCTCATGCACTGTATTCCCTGTCTATTTGTTGTTGCTGGTCTCTTCCCTTTGTGTTCCTGGATAGTGTGTTTTCCTCGTGCACTGCATTCCCTGTCTATTTGCTGGGATACTCTGTTGATGGTTTCTACCCTTTGTGCTCGGCATAGGATGGTTGATAGTCTGTAGAACCACATAGGAATAGAATTCCCACCCCAAAAGTGTTTATTGCCTACTGAGGAAGAATTAATCAGTGTGGCAAGCCAGTGACTGTGATATGACAAATAGAAGAGAGACCTTAAAGGTAGTTACTATCAACGAGGGATTTGTCCTAGATCTTGGAGAGGCTCAGCTCGTATGGAAGGAACATGGTAGGTTCAAGGGACTGTGCAGAGCACTGAGGCTGGGCTGCAGAGAGCATGGGGCGGTTTGGTTTTTATCCCGAGAGCAGATTTCCATGCGCGGCACTGAACTGTAGCAGCTTCAACTCATGCTTTGCTGCTGTGGCTTGAGATGGCTTCTTAAACAAGTGGACAGCCCCCCGTTGAGTCTCCTTCTTATTCCATCCTGAAGGAAGAGTGAGCTGGGTTCACATAGGTGGTAGAGCAATGGGACTGTTTCAGAAGGCTTTGCCTAAAAGCCATTCACAAAATTAGTGTTTTCTCTTGGCCACTCATTCATCTCTACAAGGAGCAGTCATTGGGTGGTGGCAGGGCACCCTGGTAAGGCTGGGGCCAGGGTGCAAGGTTGACTCACCTGGGCCTCATTCTCATGTGGACAACCCTCTCATGGAGCAGAGGCCTGATGGGACCTTTTGTAGTGCTCCTTGGCCTCTCCCCATGGCTCTCTTCTGCTTGTGCCCCTCGCTTTAGCCTTCTGACTTCAGAGACCTGCTGGAATGGGAGCCTAGGGTCCGAGAGGCTTTCCGTGCTGGTGACTTGGACTCCAAGCCTGACCCCAGTCGGAACTTCAGGCCTTATCGAGCTGAAGATAATGATTCCTATGCCTCTGAGGTGGGTGGAGGCCTAAATCCGAGGCTGGGTTGAAGGAGATTGGCTGGGGCCTCTCAAAACCAGGGTGATCCTTGGGGATGGTGACAGCCAGGGAAGGAAAAAATAAGAGGAAACAAGAGAATTTGATTCAATCCCATGGTCTAATTAGAGGAAGCTTAGCTGGACATGGTGTGTACCTGTAACCCCAGTGTCAGGGTGCTGAGGCAGGAGGGATGCCGAACTGGAGGCCTTTGTAAAATAACTAGCAGAGAGGCAGTGGTCTTTCCATCTAGGCTGTTTGAGTTCATGTTGTGACTCTACTGTGTGCTGACTGTGAGATCTGTCAGGTTTGTGACCTCCGGGGACAGAGCACCTATAGCCCCAGCCACTTGGGAGGCTGAAGGAGGAGGATGCCTTGAGCTCAGGTGTTAAAAGACCAGCCTGTGAAATAGTGAGGCTAAGTCAAAGATAAGTAAATCAATCAATCAAAGAGACCATGAACAACTTCATGAATCAAATTTAGTTTTCGCAGTATGTTTTTTTCTGCAAATAAATTTGCTAGAGAGAAATGTTAAAAAAAAAAGTATACTGTGGCGGATTTGACACGTTCTGTTTTATTTAACTGTCTTGGTGACCCTCTGAGGCAAGGACAGTGTTGTGCCTAATAAAGGAGCCCTAGTCCAGCTTACTGTTGATTCTTTGACCACAGCCTGTGTCCTCTTCTCACTCCTTGTCTGGCCCCCACCCCACTGCAGATCAAGGAGCTTCAGCTGGTTCTGGCAGAGGCCCATGACAGCCTCCGGGGCTTGCAAGAGCAGCTGTCCCAGGAGCGGCAGCTCCGGAAGGAGGAGGCCGACAGCTTCAACCAGAAAGTGGTCCAGGTGGGTTTGTACCACTTTTTTTCCCCACTTGCTATACTTCTCTTCCCAGGACTGAAGATACAGAGGCCATGGTGTAGCTCTGTGGCAGACACTTGCCCAGCATGTGGGAGCTCTGGGTTCTGTCTCTAGCATAGGAAGAAGTCAAACACGACTAACAGCAGGGTCGTCAGAAGGGGATAACATCGGGGGAAGAACCCTGTGCCCTGCCAGGATGTCAGTGAGCTGTGATTGTCAGCTCTACACTGGGCTAGACCCCTGCACATGGTATTGGCTGCCTAGGCGACAATGGCCTGTTTAGTCTTTTGGTTTTGCTCTGTTTTGTTTGAGACAGTGTCTCTCTCTGTGTAGCCCTGGCTGTTCACTCACTGTGTAGCCTGGGATGGGTGATTTGAACTCACAGAGATCCGCCTGCCTCTGTCTCCCCAGTGCTGGGATTAAAGGCATGTGCCACCACACCCCTCTGTTTCATCTCTTTAAAAATTTTTTTAAGGATTTTTATTTTTAAGCACACATAGATGTGTGTGGATATGTGCATGTCAGTGCAGGTGTCTGTGGAGACCAGAAGTGTCAGACTTACTTCATGTGATCTGCCTGATGTGTTGCTGGGACTTGAACCCAGGTCCTCAGGAAGAACAGCCAGTGCTTTTAACTGCTGAGCCATCTCTGCAGCCCCTGTTTCGTCTCTTGGCCTCAGTGTTTGAAGTGGTGCCCCTATCAAACCTGGCTGTGGATCATAACAACAACCGTACTGTTGGGGCTGGCAAGACGGGTAAAGACATTTGCCATCAAGCCTTACAGCTTGCGTTCAATCTCCAGGACCCCCACAGTGAGGGAGGACTAGCCTGCTCTAGTTCTCTGACCACCACACACGTGCCGTGGCACCTGTGCCCACCCATATACATAGAAAACAATAAAAAGAGAGAAACCAGCCCTCGTGAATGGCCTGTGTAACACACTTTCCGCCGTTATATCCTGTAATGCTCTTCCCTATGGGATGTTCACCAATAAGGCAGCTGCTGAGTTGGTGCATGGTAGGCCATGTTGGAAAGGTAGAAGGATTGCAGACGAGGAAACGGAGCTCACAGAGCAGACGTGCTTGGCTCAGAGCTGTGCATCCCAGGCCTTTGGCTCCCTTAGCTGTGACCCAGTGTGGTTCCTAGGGTATTTCACGTTTCTCCACCTTCCCTGACCCCAGCCAGCATACCTCGACCTCTCGGCAGTCCCCAATTACCTTCATAGTTCCCAGACTAATGTGAGTACATGGAAAATGTCTGATGCCCACGAGGTGCTCAGAGTATGATGCTGTGGTGGCCAGAGGTCATTTTGCAAGCTTTTTTTGAGACAGGATCCCTCCTGGCACCCAGAGCTCACTGATAACAGCAGGCTGGCTGGTTGAGCTTTTGTATGTGGGTTCTGGAGAGTGAACTAAGGTTCCTTCTGCTTGTGTGGCAGGCACTTTACTGACAACTCTCTCTCTCTCTCTCTCTCCAGCCCACAGCTGCTGCTTTTGAGTTCTTCCCTGGGTACAGTGGGCTGCTATCAGTAGAAGCCCTGACAGGGGTCACCAGTAGACACTTGCCATTAGTGTTCCCCTCTGCCTTTGATCTGAGTCTGGAATCAACTCTTGCTCATTCCTGTCCTAACAGCTAAAAGAAGACCAGCAGAGGGCGCTGCTGAGGCGGGAGTTTGAGCTGCAGAGTCTGAGCCTCCAAAGGAGGTTGGAGCAGAAATTCTGGAGCCAGGAGAAGAACATACTGGTGCAGGAGTCCCAGCAATTCAAGCACAACTTCCTTCTGCTCTTCATGAAGCTCAGGTGGTTCCTGAAGCGCTGGCGGCAGGGCAAGGTTCTGCCCCACGAGGAGGATGACTTCCTGGAGGTATGGCTGAGCTTAGCCCTAACCCTGAGTGGGAAGAAGGAGGCATGGGGCTTGAGCTCTGCCGTAACCGTGCTGGGTTGCTGGGATGGGACACAGTTAAGATGTGGGAAGCCGGCGATGAGCTTTGGTTCGTCCTGAGCCCCTCGTCCTTCCTGCATGGCTGTGCAGTCCCCTTTGTGTCTGGACTGCCGGAACGTGTCTGGACCGGAATGTGGTTTCTCAAACCAGGTGAACAGCATGAAGGAACTGTACCTGCTGATGGAGGAAGAAGAGATGAGTGCCCAACACTCGGATAACAAGGCCTGCGCAGGGGACAGCTGGACCCAGAACACGGTGTGTCCAGCCCCTTCTAGTCCTGCTCGCCATCCATTAATGATCACTCCCTGCCGCCTTTCACACAGCCCTGATTGTACTCAGGGTCTGCAGATGGTTGTTGGCTGGGAACCGGCCCACCAGTTGCTCAGGGATGGGGGACGTGAGTCATCCCCGGGTAGTGACAGAAGGCCAGATGAACAGTGATGTCACAGGGAGGAGAGCAGTGAGTCTGTTGTATAAGGAACAGTGTTACAGAGAAGGGGTCCCATGTAGTGTGCGCCCACGGATGAATAGGGGCTTGTCGAATTCAGAAAGGAAAGCACACCATATCGAAACGAGGAACGAGAGGACATTGTATACAGAGGTGTGACAAGATGTGCTGGAGTGGCCTTGACCAGTGGGACACTGCGACAGGGTAAGGCTGCCAGGCCAGGGTCACACAAAAAGAGGCCATGATGGTCTAGAAGTAAGAACTGTCACATCAAGACACAGGTCAGAGAGAGCCGTGGGGTCAGCCTCCCAGGATCTACAGTGAGCTGGAGTGTGGGTGAGCAGTATGTAAGGAACCAGGAAAGGGTGGGGGTACCATTTGAGAGGCTCCATGGGGAGGCCTCAGCTCAGAGAGGCAAGAAACCTGCAGCTCGGGGCCTGCAAAGCCTGGGGAAGGTTGTTTCTCTGCATCTGGGCAGAACTTCTCTAACAGTTGGTTGCATGTGAGAATTGCTGCTCAGCTCAGCTACCCCAGGACTGGCCTTCACCCTTTCTGAGGCTGGTAGGGCCTCAGCTAGACTCCTGGCTGCCCTCCCTGCCTTCACAGAGCTCTTGACCAGGCTTTCCTCTGTCTGCAGCCTAATGAGTACATCAAAACCCTGGCCGACATGAAGGTCACGCTGAAGGAGCTGTGCTGGCTACTCCGGGACGAGCGCCGGGGTCTGACCGAGCTTCAGCAGCAGTTCGCAAAGGCCAAGGCCTCGTGGGAGACGGAGCGGGCAGAGCTCAAGGGCCATGCCTCGCAGGTAAGCCTCCTTGCTTCTCAAGGACATCTCCTTCCTTATTCCCAGTCCAGATCTGGACTGTCAGACCTGAGAGGAGGGTGCTAAGCTGCTCTTGGATGCACAAGACCTCTTACACTTCACCTTGTGCCCCAGAGAGATTGACAGGAGCCTAGGCTGCACTGTGGGCTTGCAGAATGCTTCCACGCATTCCTGTATGCCGCATCCAGCATGGCTCCTGGATGGACCTGACTAGGATGCCAAGAGAATAAAGAAAAGAAGATGGATACAAGGATACACAGAAAGCTAGGATTGGGTAATCTGGACTCTTTGCTGGAGAAACTGCAATGCTCCGGAAACTTAGCCTGTCTCTAATATAGATGACTAGAGCAGAGAGACAGAGGCAAGGTTATTAGGACATATAAACAAGGAGGCAGGGCCAGGTGGTAGTAGCACACACTTTTAATCCCAGTCCTAGGGAAGTAGAGGCAGGTGGATCTCTGTGAGTTTGAGGTCAGCCTGTTCTACAAAGTGAGTTCTAGGCAGGGCTACACAGAGAAACACGAGAGAGAGAGAGAGAGAGAGAGAGAGAGAGAGAGAGAGAGAGAGAGAGAGAGAGAGAGAGAGAGAGAGAGAGAGAGAGAGAGAGAGAGAGAGAGAGGTCCACAGCTCTATTGGAAGGATCAGCATGGAGGGTCCTCAGAGCCTCCCTGGAATGGGTGCGGGGCCCATGTCCCGTGCCGCTACCCTGCTGATGCTTCGTCCTGCAGATGGAGCTGAAGGCTGGGAAGGGTGCCAGCGAGAGGCCCGGGCCCGACTGGAAGGCTGCTCTGCAGAGGGAGCGGGAGGAGCAGCAGCACCTCCTGGCCGAGTCCTACAGTGCAGTCATGGAGCTGACACGGCAGCTGCAGATCAGCGAGCGCCACTGGAGCCAGGAGAAGCTGCAGCTGGTGGAGCGACTGCAGGCCGAGAAGCAGCAGGTGGAGCAGCAGGTGAAGGAGCTGCAGAACCGTCTCAGTCAGGTGAGGCTGGGTCCGGATGCCCAGGCAGCAGAAGCACTCGCAGAGAGAAGAGGCCCAGGTGGTTCCTCTGCTCGGAGAGGAGAGAGACCCAGGTGGTTCCTCTGCTCAGAGATAAAGGCAGGAGAATTAGGAGTTCATAGTCATTATCCTGGCTACCTAGTGAGCTTGGAGCGTCCTGGTTTACAAGGAACCATCTCGAACAAACCAAACAGGCAGAAAGTAGCCCCCTAGTGTGATCCGCATACCTGTGGGTATACAGTATCTCAATGCTGCATTCGAGGGCTGGCCTCAGAGGGGTTTTCCTGTTGTCAAACTGGCACGTCCCCTGTGTTACGAGCACTGATCAAAGCACACTTTTGCACCATCTGGGCATTTCCTGTCTATGGAAGATTCCTTCCTGTTACATTATTTTTTAGTGATTTGGGAATCACTAAGCCCAGTCCATGCCGTGGTTAATGGGGTATCAGCAAATACAAGGCTGGGACCTTCTGCCTGAGCCTTGCACTTGGTTTCCCAGCAGGGACCATGTGTAGAATTTGATGGCCTCCTGGATCTGGTCTCCTGTTTCCCTCGGCTCAAACCAGGACACCCAAAGCTGCACCCTCTTCCTCTTATTTTCTGCCACTTTCATCCTTTCCTTCCTTTTTTGTTTTATTTGTTTCAGACTGAGTCTCTCTGTATCTCACTTAGTTGTCCCAGACAAGCCTGGAATTCCCAGCTCTCCTTCCTAGAGCTCTCCAGAGCTAGGATCCCAGGTGTGAGCCCCCACATCCATATAAGCTGCACTTTCAGTGAAAGCAGCCTAGTCAAACAGCCTGCCGAGCAGCAGGAAGGGTCTTAGTTGGTGTTCTATTGCTGTGAAGAGACACCAGAACCACTGCAACTCTTATAAAAGAAAACATTTAATTGGGGCTGATTTACAGGTTCAGTCCGTTATTTCGTGGTGGGAAGTATGGTAGCTCACAGGCAGACATGGTGCTGGAGAAGCAGCCGAGAGTTCTATATCCTGATCCAAAGGCAATAGGAAGAGAGAGTGACAGTTGGCCTGGCTTGAGCATTTGAAACCTTAAAACCCACCCCCAGTGACACACTTCCTCCAATAAGGCCACATCTACTCAAACAAGGTCACACCTCCTAACAGTGCCACTCCTGATTAGCCTGTGAGAGCCATTTTCATTCAGACCACAAAGGGGCTCTTGATCAGGAGGTCCAGCGCTCCTAGTCAAGTCACCTCTGGTCTCTGGGCTTTGCCTACACAAGGAGGACAACTGTTCCATCTTCTCATCTCTCAGGGTAGTCATGGGGATAAAAGAGCTAGCTGTAGGAATACCACATTGCTCCTCGGTTCCCCTGCCTGGGCCTTGGATTGCCGTCTTCATCTGTGAGTTCTGTTCATTAGTGGTGAGGTGGATTTGGTTGCCCCCACACCATTTTACTTGTCTTAATTGGGTTCCTAAGAAGCAAAGTTTGAGAGATGGGTTCAAGTGCAAGCAGGTGGCCAGTCCGTCCTGGCTTTGCTTAGGACTTCCACTTTACCGTTGATACAGTCCTAGGCAGACCCTTCTTGCTTTTTCAGAACTGCAAAGTTTGGGGGACATAAGCCTTACTAACACTGGGAAAGTCCTGGGGGAGCCAGGGCAAGTCACCCCATGAGGGAGTCAGCTGTAAAGCTATGGAGGAATTCAAGCAAAGTGATGGTGTAACGCCTATAATGCCAGCTGCTAGTACAGCTGCCCACATCTGGGCCAGTTCCTTCCTTGTGTTATCTTTATCCTCTCACCTGCTACATGGAAATAATCACAGTCACACCTACTCCTGAGGTTGCCATGAAGGTAAGACGAACTGATGTGCACATGCAAATAGACTTCCTGGAAGTGATTGATGGTGCTCCATGGTCGTCCTCGGGACTCAGCAGGAAGTAGTGCTGGGCTGTTACAGATGGCTGCCATTGATGGCAGCATGATCTGCTGTGTGAAATAGCTATTGCTTTTCTGCCTAGCAGTTCTAGGAACAGTACTACAGATTAATGTAGCAGTAACAACTGTTAACTCTATGTCAAGAAGATGCCTCCCTGTAGCTGCTTGTATTACTGTGTTCCAAACCCACCTGTGGGGGCTCAGATCTGCTACCCAGTGAGAAGCTAATGCTGGGCTCACGATGTGGGTCACATGGACTATCGAGTTGAGAGTGCCCTGCTCGTTACAGCCCTGCCCACCAGCACATACCTTTTGCCTCTTTCAGCTGCAGAAGGCTGCCGAACCCTGGGTCCTGAAGCACTCTGACCTGGAGAAGCAGGACAACAGCTGGAAAGAGGTGAGGGCGTCCCTGGTACCCATGTTCTATTGGCTCCCTACTATGCTCGAAAATTTCTTACTTGTGGGAAATGTTAGCAGAAGGATGCTAACCCTGTCCCAAAAGCCATATCTTCCTCACGTCCTGGGTTTATTAGCCCCAGGGTCACTACCCTATGACTCTTGCCCTTGGATTGGGACTTGGGTAGGGTCCTCTGCTGGGGCTATCTGACTACACCTGGGGGAAACCCCAGCCCACTTCAATTATACACCAGCAGAATGCAAGGCCTTCTGAATGACTGTGTGGTCTTAGGGGAGTCACTCCATCTCTCAGCCCCAGCTGTCTCATTGCCCTGGCCCAGTCCTGAATGGGGTCAGTAGGGTCACACTGGAGGAGCTTGCACATAGGTTCGGGGCATTACCCACAGAACCCAGAGCTGAGTAACAAAGGTATGTGCAGGCCCTTCTGATCGCCATTCCCTCCTCATGACGGCATCCTACTCAGGAAATGGGGCTACAGAAGGCAAACGCCTATTCTGGGAGCTGAGACTTGGAGGATTTGTGGGGACTCACAGAGGTAGTGATGAAGTTGTGCTAAGTCATGGGTCCCGAGGATCCAGTGTGGGTCATTACCATCAACCACAGCAACTGTCATGGGCTAAGTTCTAGGTCTCAAACAGTCCCTCCTTGCACTCCAGGCACCTGAGCTTGGGTCACATCTAAAAGGCCCACTGGCTGAGCGATCCTACTCCTCAGAAGAGAGAGAACTCACATATGGAGGCCCGGGCTCAGCTCCCACACTGTCTGCTGTCACCTTCCTTTTACACACTGATCACCAGATTTGACTCTTCTTGTCTCTTCCGTTGACAGACACGAAGTGAGAAGATCCACGACAAGGAGGGTGTTTCTGAAGCTGAGCTTGGGGGACCTGGCTTAAAGAGGTGCTGGCCCCTCAATCCCCAGCTCCCATCCCCAGCTCTGCCTCCCCCATAGACCCTTGGCTTTGACTCTCTTCACCCTGCTGCTCCATGTGTCCACTCCTGTCCCCACAAGAGTTGGGAGAGCCACCAGATGTTTTTCCTCTGGAACCCCGGTCATTCAGGCACTGGAAAGCTCGGGCCATGAGGATTGCAGTGTGCAGTTTAATGTTGATCCTGGGTGTGGGAAACTGGGGCCTCAGCTGCACTTGCTGGCAAAGAAGCCCTTTGGTCCCTTTAAGGGTTGTCTTTTCCTCCCTGGAGTTTGAGTCATGGTAGATATCCATTCCTGGGGTTGTTGGGCAGTGTCCATTGGGCCCAGCCCTGTGCTGTGGCAAGGAGACACTCAAGGATTAGTGTCTCAACCATTAAGACCCTTCATGAAAGAAGCGACAGGCAGCCGGGCATTGATGGCGCACGCCTTTAATCCCAGCACTCGGGAGGCAGAAGCAGGCAGATCTCTGTGAGTTCGAGGCCAGCCTGGTCTACAGAGCAAGTTCCAGGACACAGCCTCCAAATCAATACAGAGAAACTCTATCTCAAAAAAAAAAAAAAAAAAAAAAAAAGAAGAAGAAGAAGAAGTGACAGGCAATACAGAACATTCTAGAGAGAGAGAGAGAGAGTGTGTGTGTGTGTGTGTGTGTGTGTGATTACTGGGGCAAGAAGGCCAGGCTTCAATTCTGTCTCTGCCATTTCTAGCACTGGGGCCTTGGGTACCACCCTCTCTGTAGTGGGATAATTGGAGATGCCCCTGGAGCTGCCTAGTGACCAGTCATGTGCCGTAGAGCAAACCTTACCTGGTTGTAAAACAGGAAATGAAGGCCCAGAGTCAAGGGAATTTCAAATGATTGGTAGAGGGTCCAGGGCACTGCCAGATAGTCAGTGGGCAGCTGGAGCTCCAGATTGCTGAGAAACCTGGGGGCAGCAGAGACTGCACCCATCAACCAGAGCTACTCCAGGTAAAGTATGAGGAGGCCAGGTACAGATTCCACCCATCGTGTGCTAAGGGCTGCTTTCAGGGGGGCTGTTTCTGGCTTCCGCTGTTGAGAGGTTAAGTATAGTGCTAGTGTTCATGCCACTTGTGTATATAGGTGGGTGTGGAGAGAGGGTTCGAGGAGGTGCCAGTAAGACTGTCCACAAGAGATAGACAAGACAGGCTCGGTCTCCACATGCATATCCCAGTAAGTATACTAGCATGCTTGATATGTTATTTTCCATTAATCCCATTTTCTTCCTCTGCTTTTCCCAGGACCAAATCAGTTTCCTCCATGTCTGAGTTTGAAAGTTTGCTCGACTGCTCCCCTTACCTTGCTGGTGGAGATGGGCGGAACAAGAAGCTGCCCAACAGCCCCGCTTTTGCCTTTGTGAGTACTGAGCCGGTGGAGCCCGAGAAAGATGCCAAGGAAAAGCCTGGGCTGTCCACCCGGGACTGCAACCGCATGGGTACGCTGGCCTGCCAGGAGCCTGCAGGGAGGCCCATGCAGCGCAGCTACACTGCTCCAGACAAGACGGGCATCCGAGTCTACTACAGTCCCCCAGTGGCCCGGCGCCTGGGCGTCCCTGTGGTGCACGACAAGGAGGGCAAGATCCTCATTGAACCAGGCTTCCTCTTCACCACAGCCAAGCCCAAGGAGTCAGCCGAGGCAGACGGGCTGGCTGAGAGTTCCTATAGCCGGTGGCTTTGCAACTTCTCCCGGCAGCGCCTGGATGGAGGATCTGGGGGCAACACCTCGGGTTCTGGACCTGCTTTCCCTGCAGCCTTGCATGACTTTGAAATGTCAGGCAACATGAGTGATGACATGAAGGAGATCACCAACTGCGTACGGCAGGCCATGCGCTCTGGCTCGCTGGAGAGGAAGGTAAAGAGCACGTCCAGCCAGACGGTGGGTCTGACCAGTGTGGGCACGCAGACCATCCGGACAGTCAGTGTGGGCCTGCAGACTGACCCTCCCCGCAGCAGCCTCCACAGCAAGAGCTGGTCACCCCGCAGCTCCTCGCTTATGTCAGTACGCAGCAAGCAGATCTCCTCCTCCCTGGACAAGGTCCATTCGCGCATTGAGCGGCCGTGCTGCTCGCCTAAGTATGGCTCACCCAAGCTCCAGAGGCGATCAGTGTCCAAGCTGGACAGCACCAAGGACCGCAGCCTGTGGAACCTGCACCAAGGCAAGCAGAATGGCTCAGCCTGGGCCCGCTCCACCACCACACGGGATAGCCCAGTGCTGAGGAACATCAACGATGGGCTGTCCAGCCTCTTCAGTGTGGTGGAGCACTCAGGGAGCACCGAGTCCGTCTGGAAACTGGGCATGTCTGAGGCCCGAACCAAGCCCGAGCCTCACAAGTATGGCATTGTGCAGGAGTTCTTCCGGAATGTGTGTGGCCGCGCACCAAGCCCCACTACTGCAGTAGGAGAGGAGAGTTCCAAGAAACCAGAGCCCCTCTCCCCTGCCAGCTATCATCAACCTGAGGGTGTAGCCAGGATCCTGAATAAGAAGGCAGCCAAGGCAGGTGGCAGTGAAGAGGTCAGACCCACTATGCTCTCCCAGGTCGGGAAGGATGGTGTCCTTCGGGATGGAGACGGAGCCTTGATCCTTTCCAGTGAGGTATGGCTAGACCTTGTCCGTGAGGGATAACATAGAAAGTTCAGACTCTTATGTTTTATTTTCTGTTTTTTTTTTTTTTTTTTTTTATTCTTTAAAGTCAGAGTTCCTTGTAGCCCCGCCTGGCCTTGAACTTTCTATGTGATTGAGGATGACCTTGAATTTCTGATCCCTTGCCTCTGCCTGCAGTGTGCTGGGATTGCAGGTATGTGCATGACACCTGGTTTATATGGTCTGGAGATGGTAACCAGGGCTTTGTGCATGCTAGGCAAGCACTCTACCGACTGAGGTATGTCCCCATGCCCTCCTCTGGCTCTTAAACTCAGGGAAGATATTATCTGTGAGTTTTAAAATGCTGTTACACTGATAGGGGATGAGCATGAACATTCCTGACTTGAAATAACACAGGCCTGATGCCAAGAGATTAGCGAGAATGGCTTAACCATTTGTTTTGCCGCCATGCAGATCTCTGCAGCATCCCTCTGGAGGAGAGATGTCCCTATAGAGTGACTTGTTAGGCTTCTAAGAGTCAGTAGTTAGCATTCTGTGTGTGCCTTGATAGCTTAAGATTGCTGTAATAAGAGGACTAGTGCCAGAAAGAAAGCTTTGAAAAGTTACAAATCAAGGCTTTACCCACCCTCACTCTTAGAAGACTAATTATAACACATTCACTAACTGCCACTTCCCCGCCCTAACAAGACTTCACAAAATCCTCTGAGAATGTCTGGCTGCACACCCCACTCCTGATACCAGTTTTGTTGTGTTAGGGGTTATTTGAAATTCAGTCAAGGAATGTGTCTAATTAAGTGTTGGAAAAGGGGAAGGAGTGGCCTCTGCAGGATGATAGTGTCTCATGGAACCCTAAAGTGGGCCTGGCGGACTCTACAGCATCTCCTTCTTCCTCACTTGAACTCTGTTTTCTTCTGTTTCTCCTCCCTTACTTTCTTTCTGTTTTTTTTTTTTAATATTTTATTTTTATTGTATGTACATTGGTGTTTGGCCTGTGTGTATGTCTTTATGAAGGTGTCAGATACCCTGGAGCTGGAGTTGCAGACAGTTGTGAGCTACCGTGTGTATACTGGAAATTGAACCCGGGTCCTCCGGAAGAGCAGCCAGTGCTCTTAACCGCTGAGCCTTCTCTCCGGTCTCCTGGTTTTGTTTGTTTGTTTGTTTTTGTTTTTGTTTTTATTTTTACGAGACAGGGTTTCTCTGTATTGTTTTGGAGGCTGTCGGACCAGCCCGACCTCGAACTCAAGGAGATCCACCTGCCTCTGCCTCCTGAGTGCTGGGATTAAAGGCGTGCGCCACCACCGCCCAGCTTGTTTTTGTTTTTTAAGATTATTTTAGCCAGGCGTTGGTGTTGCACGCCTTTAATCCCAGCACTCGGGAGGCAGGGGGAGGCAGATCTCTGTGAGTTCAAAGCCAGCCTGGTCTACAAAGCTACACAGAGAAACCCTGTCTCTAAAAACAAAAAAAGATTTATTTATTTTATATTTATATATATGTATTCGAGTCCATCTGGGTATTTTTGCATGTATGTGAGAGTGCTTGCAGAGACCAGAGGATGTCAGGCCCCCTGAAATGGAGTTCCAGGTACCTATGAGCAGCCTGATGTAGGTGCTGGGAACCAAACACAAGTTCTCTTCATGAACTGAGTCCTGAACTGCTGAGCCATCTCTCCAGCGCATGCGCTCACTCTGTGCTTTTGCCTAAGGATCAGGCAAAACATTACAGCTCTGATTTTACATCTTCCAGTTCAAGCACCTAAGAGACATTGACACAAATCCCTCTGTCCCAATTTGTAGTTTCAGGAGAAGGAAATTGATTGGTTCAACCTGGATGAAATGTACCGCCTGTTTTGGTTTAGCTGTAGGTGGGGGTGGTCCCACTGTGGACTCAGCGAGAGCTATAGAAGGAAGTACAGAACTGTAAGGATGGAGGAGGCCGTGGGTGGGATAGGATTGTGACGGACTCAACAGGGTCACTTCTCCCTTGCTGTGTTCAGGTGGTTTCCAGTTTTTCCCTGTGATTAAGAATACTGTAGTGAATTTGTTGATGCAAAACTTTTTTATTTACATTTCAGATTATTCCATTAAGTTTGAGTTGCAGAAATAGGAGAAAAGGATACTTATAAGGCATTTGATGTATTGCCAAATAATCTTCCAGAAGAGATTGTCTAGATTAGGGTCTAGCTCAGTTGCACAATCTAAGTCTATCATGTGTGAAGCCCTGTGTTTAGTCCTTGTGGACAGAGGTTTCTGTCCCACCTGGTCCTGCAGCCATTTGGTCTCAAATAAACACACAGAGGCTTATTTAATTATAAACTGTTTGGCCGATGACTCAGGTTTTTTATTGGTGAGCTCTCTCTTAATTATTCACCCATTTCTATTAATCTGTGTATCTCCTTGTGGTCTTGGCTTACTGGAAAATGCCCAGGAGTCCTACCTTCTTGGTAGCTACATGGCATCGCTCTCACAACCACTCTCTGCGTTCCTCCTCCCAGAATTCTCCTAGTCTGGTGGCCCCACCTATATTCCCTGCCTGGCTACATCCTGCCATTGGCCAAACAGCTTTATTCATCAGCCAATAAGAGAAACATATTTACAGCAAACAGAAGGACATTTCCCATCAAGTCCTAGTATATTCAAGAGAGGAGAGAGGGAGGGAGAAAATGAGGATGAATACGAGAATGAATGAGAGAGTTTCAATTTTAGGAGTCTGGCATAGGATCTGGCCAATGGTTTAGTTCTGGTCTGAGTCCCAAGGTCTGAGAACCAGGAAAGTTAATGACTTTAACCAGATCTTAAGATGGGCAGCCTTATGGCCAGAAGTGCCCTTATTTTAGTTTAAGTCCAAATGCAAGAAAGGGAACCAGCAAAAAGTACTTGTCACCAAATATGACATTCTAGGTGCAATCCTTGGAGCTTAAAAGGTAAAGTGAGAAAACTGACTCATGAAAATGTTCTCTGACCACCACTGCATGGATGCGTATACCTATAACTCACAACACAAGATGAATGAATAAATATTTTTAAAATTAATAAAAAATAGAAAGGAGGGGGGAAATCCAGTGTCCCAGTCTGAAGGTTGTCAGCCATGAAACATTTGCTTACTTTGGGGAGAGGCAGCCTTTTGTGCTTGCCTTACATAAATGCCCAGAATAATGTCGGACTTGGTGTCCAAGGGCCCTGTGGCTTAGTCACATTGATACAGAATGAGCCATTACAAACCAGACGTGGTGGCACGAGCTTTTAATCCTAGCATTTTGGAGGCAGAAGCAGGAGGGTCTCTATCAGTTGGAGACCAGCCTGGTCTACGTGGCAAGTTCCAGACCATCCAAGGCTATATAGAGAAACTTGGTCTCAAAAAATCAGCAACAGCAACAGCTGCCATCATGTCCATAAAACCAACACAGTAAGAAATAATAGCATGAGCTGGCCCAGCACTTAAGAGCATTTACTGGGTTCAGTTCTCAATAACTGCCCATAACCCCAGTTCCAAGGGATCCTATGCCCTCTTCTGTCCTCTGGGCACTGCATGCCTTTTTATCCCAGCACTCGGGAGGCAGAGGCAGGTAGATCTTTGAGTTTGAAGTCAGCCTGGTCTACAGCCAGGGCTACACAGAGAAACCTTGTCTCAGAAACACAAAAACAAACAAGCAAATGGAAAGAATGGATCTACCTAAATATATAGCAAAAGTGAACTTGGAAATGCCCAGTGCTCCCAGGGGAGGAGGAAAGCATTTACCAGATGGGATACCACAGACCCATGAGTAGCTGAGACAAACACCACAGCTTGAGGCCAGCCTGGGCTGCATAGTAAATTCAAGGCCAGCTGGAGCTACCCAGTGCGACTCAGTCACAAAGAAGCGAACAGAAAAGCAAATTGGAGCTGAGGATGTAACCCAGTGGTAGAGCACTTGCCTGGCTTGCTCAAGGCCCTAGGTTCTATCTCTAGTGCTGGGGGAAAGTGAATTGGAAGATATTTCTTTCCATTCAGTAGAATCCTGTAGAGCCATTACAACAGAGACCCAGCGGCTGGAGAGATGGCTCAGCCCTTAAGAGCACTGGCTACTCTTCCCGGGGACCTGGGTTTGATTCCCATTACCCATATGGTGGCTCACAGCTGTGTATAACTCTAGTTCCAGGATATTTGACACCTTCTTCTGGGTTCTGGGCACTGTGTACATGTGGTGCACAGACACACATGCAAGCAAAATGCCTAAACACAGAATAAATAGCAACAAAAACAAACCAACAGAAAGTACCAGCATTCACAGTGGTAGAGAAATGTTTGTACTTTGCAAGTGCAAATAGTAATAATAATAATAATAATAATATGCTTTGGGGATGAGTTCATGTTGGTCAGTGTATGACTGTTTAGAATGTTGAGAATCTTAACCATGGATAATGTCTGCCTTCTCAGACTTTATTAAAATGAGGATCCATTGTTGCCCTAATAGGAGTAACGTGATAAAATTGGTCTAGAACAGGGTTGCAGCCCCTGGGAAGCAGTGTGAGACATGGCTGAGTCCTAGTTCCTGCGTGGCTGCAGTCAGTGCCTGGGGCTGCTCCTGACCTCCTCCTTGTCTCTTCCCAGGATGCTGTTTGTGACTGTAGTGCCCAGTCGCTGGCCTCCTGCTTCGTCCGGCCATCCCGCAACACCATCCGACACTCTCCTTCCAAATGCAGGCTGCACCCTTCAGAGTCAGGCTGGGGCGGGGAGGAGAGGGCAGCCCCGCAGTGAGCCACAGAGCCGCCAAGCTCCTACCCGAGCACCCCAGACTCTGGAGATGAGGCAAGAGGTCGTCCTCAGCCTCACTCTGCCCAGGGGGAACAGAAGCTGTGCCACTGCCAGAGAAGAGCTTTTCAAGGTGATACAGGGTGTCCCACTGACGGCTGGGAGATGACCTCTGATTTCCAGGGGAAGGCAGTGAGCAGGAGAAAGACCAAACCTGAGTGATCAGGACTGGGCCTTGAAAGCACCTGAAAAGCTCTGCAAGTCACCTCTGGGTCCCAAAGAGGGCCTGGCACCACCCACACCACTTCTTAGAAGGATCCAGAAAAGGAGGCCTTTCTGGCCAGGCTCCAGGAATGGGGCTTACAGGGATGCGCCCTACTGACCACATGTGGAGAAGCCACTGAGAAGATTGGGTTTTGCTTAAGGTCCAGCTTGACGCTCTTGGATGAGCTGGGCTGGGCAGTGTCACCGTCACTCCTGCTTCCTCCCCCCAGCCCTGCTGATGCGGTTGCTAGGCCTTCTTGGAGGAGAGAAGGGGGATATGATAGAGCAGAAGCCAGGGCCAAGTACACTTGGAATCCTGGAGCCCTGGATCCCCCTGCCTGCACTCACATGTAGCAAGAACTGGGAGGCAGGTAGGAGTGTGTAACGTATAAGGTTCAGAGTTGGAGGCCAGAAGAGCTGGTTGCCTTGTTAAGGTGACTTGAAGGCCCAACTTTCTTAGGAGACTCCATGAGAACAGAAATGGGTAGGGTCCATCTCAACACCTGATGCCGAGGTAAAAGCCTACATGCCATGCCTTGATCCCTAGGGCCTCTTTCTTGGTAGCAGATGGCTGCCACAATCCTGCAGCAAGTAGGGGGCAGAAATGCTCCCTTTGAGAGACTCTATTGGTCAGGTCAGGCCAGAGAGAGCTTCAAGAGGCCAGTGTCCCAGGACACAGCCCAAGACAAGGGCCTACAAACATTTCTTGCCTAGATTGTTTATTTGAATTTTTCATACTATAAATATTTAAGGTGATTTACTTTATTTTAATAATTTAACTTACCCCCCAAAGCCCTTAAGGTAATTTATTAGAGGTATTCTTGCCACTGGGACAACGTGGGGCTTGTGACACCATGGAGTCCCCCATGTGGCTGAGGCAGCTCAGCACCAGGCTCAGATCGCCTGGTTTTGTCAGAAGGGCCCCTTGGCAGAACTGGGGCTCTGTACCTTATTCCCCCAATACCACTGACCATTTAGTCTCGGATCACTACATTTTACTCATTACCCGGTACTTGGTCTGGCCTCTATGAGCCAGGCTGTAAATGCTTCAGACGAAGTGTAGGCCAGAATGATGTCTCCACTCCCCTGACAGCTTCCATGATCCTTCACACCCCTCGCCTCCCCCCAGCACCTTTTCTCACAAGTCAAACATAGATGGCTGCAGCTCTGTTCCGAGCACAGCCACCCCTCCATGCTCCCCATGTAAGAACTCGTACGAAAGCAGGATGGACTTGTAGAATGCTGCCTATTGCAGCTTTGCACGTGGATCTGAGAGTGTCTGCCAGCCTGCCAGCCTGTTCACCAGCCCTTCTCGTAGCCTTACAGCCACTCGTGGCTCCTCTTCTAGCCCCAGCTCTGCTCCCTGTCCTTCCTGTCCCTAAGAGTCGCCTGAGCCACGCCAGTGTAACTCAAACTGCAGTATAGGGAGCTCACATGCCTCCCCTTGGTGCCAATGAATCAATTCCAGTTGTACAGGTGATGTGCTGCCCTCCTGTTCCTGGCTGGGGATCCAGACTCATCCAAGGATGCATTGGCTTTTGTGCAGAGTCCCCACCAGAAAGGCAGAGAGCCAACTGCAAGGCTAGTTTCCTCCAGCATTAGGGAGATGCCTCTGCACTCCCACCTACCAGATTCCAGGCTACCTTTTTAGGGACACCTGGAACAGTTACCCAAAGCCCCTCGACCCCATTCCCTATGGGCAGTATATCAGGGTCAGTCCATCCCACCAGCTGTTGCCTCGTGTCCCAATGGGCAGAGTCAGCAGGCCAGTGGACCGTGGGCCTGGTCCCTCCAGGATGCTACTGCTCTCCTTCAAGAGGTCAGAGACCCCTCAAAGGTTATCTCCAGCTGAGGGGACCACACCAGGCCACAAGCCACCAGAGGCCTTCTGCCACCTCCCAGAGCTGCTGAGAGCCAGGGAGGCTTGAAGAAAAGTCCCCATAGACCTGCACCCCAGGGCTTAGGGGCCACTCAGCCTTACCATCGTGTCCCATTTGGGTTGTTGTGCGTTACCAATGTCTCAGCACCTGGCCCCTGTGGCCCCCAGCAGGTGTTGCAAGCTCCAAGTCTTGGTTTTCAGTCCCTGTTTCTAATTCCTGCTTGCCACTGTGCAAGGCCACTTGTCACCGTCCCTATAGAAGCTCTGGACACAGGGCTTGATGGGGTTGAAATGTTACATGTAAATATTGGTTTGGTTTGACCTTTAGCATTTTACTTGGTAACTGGTTCTGTTTCCTTTTGGGGGGTGGAAGGGTTGGTTTGTAAATCTCTCTACTCTTTTGAAATGTAATTTCTAAGTTTGTTTGTTTCTTCAAATGCCTTTTATGTCTTGGTAACATTCCCAAAGCAGAAAACTGCCTGGCCTACATGGGATACTCCCCTGGAGGCCTGGGGTTGTGGGAAGGAGCAATGCCCTTTCTCCCAATCCATCCTCTTTCTGTTCACCTCTGCCTTTCTCCTTCTTTTCCTTCAGCCCTCTACCTCCCCCTCTTCTCTCCTCCCTTCCTCTCTCCCTCCTTCCTTCCTCCCCCCTGTCTCTTTCTCTCAACCAATGTCCCAAGGAACCTTGGGGTCCCAGTCCTCTATTGCCTGGCTTAGGCCCACAGGGTTGACACAAGTTGGCTGGGGGCGTGAGGTTGAGTTACATGATTGAAACTAAACTATGTCTTGTCTCTTCCCAGGGCTAAACCAAGTTAGATCATCTTGGAGGCAATGGTGATGGGTTTTGAAATGAAATTCAGAGCTCTTGGGGCCCCCGACTGAATAAGGCATCGGAACCCATTTCCCTTTGCCTTGTATCCTTCCTCTCAGTTCTTAGTCAAGCCACCAAGGCTTGTTCTCTAGGAGCTCAGATTGGGCCCTATCTCTTGGTCTCTCCAGGGATATTCATCTACCACCTGGCCGCCAGGTGACAAAACTAAGTTCTCAAAAGACTTGACCTTCCGGCTGCCACCATGCCACTCTGTGTACCTTTCATGGATATGTCCATCACTCAGCTTTGTCTTTTGCCCAGAGACTACCAGAGTCTTCCTCTTCCCCACCCTCCCAGAACGGATGCCATTCCATTAACTGTCCACTAGCTCCCTCTTGTAGTAGCAACCTCCTTGTAGTAACAACCATCCCTACACCGGACTCCCTAGAGTACTTTACTGTTTAGAGACCTCCTCAGGTCTCTCAAGGGCAACTCTTAGAGACAGTTTTGACAGCTCAGGGCTTAGTGCTCTTGTTCTGAAAACGAGAAAACAGATACAGTTCTCATGGCTGAGCCTAGAACCAGGAAGTCATCAACTTTCAATTAGACTCCTTCCTCCTTTCTGTACAAATTCACGGCAAGACAAGAGCCCTAAGCCCTGAGCTGGGATATTGGGGTGCGGGTGTCTCAGCCAAACTCTGCTTTAGATAAATTACCCCAAGAATTTCCAAATGGCACCAAAACCAGTGTTCCACCCTAGTCACTTGTTTGATAAAATAACAAAGCTAGAAAGCTGAGGCTGATGGCACGGCCCTTTAACCCCAGCTACTCAGAGGCTGAAGCAGGAGGATCAGGCTCAAAGCCTGCTTAGGCTACAGAGTTAGTTTGTGGTCAGCCTGGGCAGTTTTCTGAGGACTTGTCTCAAAATAATGATTTTAGAAAGTGCTGGGTAGCTCAGTGGTAGATGCTTGCCTCCCATGTGTGAGGCCCTGGGTTCTTTACCTGGTATTGGAAAACAAAGAACTAGAAAAATCAAAGGGGGAGGACTGGGGGCATCTCAGTATCTCAGTAGTAGAGCACTTGCATAGCATGTGAAAAAAGAAAAGAAATGTTCCCCAATCTACCTACTATAACCCCATAGATACACAATTTAAATTACACCCCCATACACACACACACACTTTTTGTTTGTCTGTTTTTGTTTTTAGACATGATGGTGCTATGTATCCCTTTCAGATCTGGAAATTGCTATGTAGACCTTAAACTTGTAGTAATTCTCCTGCCTCTGCCTCCCAAGTTTAGTTAACTAATAATTGACAGGCATATACCACCATACACAGCCTTAAATTTCATTCTGGAGTTTTCAAAGACTGGGGAGCTGGTTCGTGTTTTACCTAAGACAAAGCATGTTTTCCAGGTGACTATTTACAAAATAATAAACTGCCACCAACTCGAATGACCTTGGCCAAATCACATAGCTAGCCTGTGCCTCAGTTTCCCCAGTTATAAAGTGGTGGCTGTGGTAAAGGCCAAATGCATCTTGCCTGTTTATCTCCCAAGAAAGGCTGAAGTTCTATATAAATCTTAAATCTGGCCCACACTCTACAGACATTGAGCCCCGCAGTGACCTAACTCCAGTGATGCCATGTACCGCCTTCTCTCATTGTCCAGCCTTAAATAAGTAGACCGGAACCACAAGAGAATCTCAACCAACCTGCTCACTTTTTTTTTTTTTTTTTTTTTTGGTTTTCCGAGACAGCGTTTCTCTGTGGCTTTGGAAGCTGTCCTGGAACTTGCTCTGTAGACCAGGTTGGTCTCAAACTCACAGAGTTCTGCCTCTGCCTCCTGAATGCTGGGATTAAAGACGTGCGCCACCACTGCCTGGCTCCCGCTCACATTTTAAGCTGCTACGTTAGTCCTTTTAAGTAAGTGTGCATTGCTTGTGTGTGTGTGTGTGTGTGTGTGTGTGTGTGTACATGAGTGCACACACATGCCCACACACTGGAATTGAGACTCAGCATGTGAGACAAGAACTTTACCATTGAGATACATCTTCAACACCCAAGAGGCTTTTAAAAAATTATTTACTTTGAGACAGTGCCTCCTATATCATCATTTGGCCTCCAACTCACTGTGCAACCAAGGATGAACTTGAACTCTAGATCTTCCTGTTTCTATCTCCACTGGCATTTGCCACAACCCGGACCTTAAGTGTCTTTTATGTACATTCACAATATTGTGTCACCACTACTATCTTCAGAACTTTTTCTTGGCCCCAAACTGAAATTGTACCCCCTCATAATAATTAATAACTGACCCCCAAACAATAATTCCCCCCTCTCCCGCTCCAGGGCTGAATGACCTCTGCTCTACTTCCTTTTTGCGCTGGTCTGTTTTAGGTACTGGTCATGTAGACAGAATCCTACATTTATCCATGTCGTCGCACCCTTCATGTTTTACACATGGAGAAGGGAGTGGCTTGTCCAAGGCCTCACAGCAAGGCAGGGGAGGAGCTGCAGCACATCCCAGGACTCCTGACTCTCAGAAGGTCCTGTACAGAGTGTGTGAAGCGTGCTCTGGGGACTCGGCCGAACCCCATCTTCCACCTCATACCCACCCCGCCTTTATCATCCTTAGATTGCCCTCTTCTTGCCACCCCTTTTTAGCTGGTTTCTACCACCAGATGAAGTAGTCCTAGCCGAGGACCAGCTTTTCTTCTCTGGGACTCTGGGATTTCTACAACGCCAGCCCTCAGCTCTCCTATGTCCTCTCTGGTACACTTTTCCCTCTTAGGGACTTTCGTCTGACCTTGGCAATCCTCTTCCTGTCCCTAAAAACTCACATCCCACCCCATCAGGGAAGTGCTATGTCCAGTTGGTCTTATAATTTCAAGGTTTGCTCTTAGGTCTGAAATTATCCAGACTTGTGTTTATTTTGTATTTTTTTCTTACTAGAGGGATGCCTCTTTGTTACATGCATCATGCAATGCGTCTCTTCCACCCTTCTCATGCATCAACATCTCTTCACCCTTCTCATCAGACTGATCCCACCCCAGCAGCCTCCCAGTCCAGAAAACCTCCAGTCCCACCCGAGTCTCTGCCTCCTGTCTTCCCTGCTTCTCCCAATAACCGTCACATCACCTTCCCCTGGGAGGATATGTGATGGACACGAAGCTGGTGTTCACCTTTGGGTCTTCTCTGTCCTGCCCACTCTCGGTGGCCTTGGTATAGAGCAGAAGTTTGACTTCCTTTTCTTTGGTTTTGTGTCTCTCTGTCCATCCTGTCTTTCACGTCCCCCAGATCAGCTCATCTTGGCAGAGCCTTGCCCTCCTGAACCAACAGCATTTGCAGTTTGCAGAATCCACAGACCCATTAAAGGCAACTGAGGGCATGATACTGGGCCACAGCTCCTGCTCAGGGCTCCTCTGCCATCTGACGACTTCCCTTCCTCACCCTCCCGGGAGCCTTCTCTTCCCTTTGTCCACCCCATTGACCCTGCTCTCCCCTTGCTGCCCTTCACTAGCTCCCTGGACCAAAGGAAGGAGTCTTTGGTTTCCTCTGAATATTATGGCAGGACTGAGACAGGCGGAGTCTGGATTCCTTGTCACTCCACATCCAAAGTCACCTATGCCACGTCTACAAAGAGAAACCTCAGCTAGCAGTCTGGAAACCTACCCCAAGTTTGAGCGTCCCAGTTTTATGGTCCTCCCAGGAGCACCAGGATGACCCTATGGACTTCAAATATCCTTTGCATTTTGGGATCCTGCAGTCTCCACTGGATCCTTTGGGCCCTGGCACCCCTGGCTCTTCTCTTGGCTCTGCCATTGATCTCTGTGCCTTATTTTACTTCTTTGCACAGGGGAGGGGGGCTCACCCACCACAACACCATTCCTAGCATCCATCTACATCTTTTGGTACCTCTATAGCTGGGCCTTGCCAACATGGCTTGCCTTAGGAGTACCAGGTTGCCAAGGCAACTGGAGGTACCACTGGAGACTAGTGCCTCTCAAACTCTGTCCCAGCAGTAGAAGCCTCACCAGGAAAGTTGACAGAAGTGCAGATTGTTGGTCCCATCCAAGACCCTCTGAAGCAGGCCCAGCAGCTTGGGGGTTTGAAAGAGCCTCTGAGTCATTCTGATGTAGACAAATTTGCCAGCAACAACAACAAGGGTGTTGGCCTAGGTGAACTGTCAGTTCAGTTTGGGAAGACTGGGCCTGGCCTGGGCTAAGAACAATGGAAAACAGTCAGACAGACTTGTAGAGTCAGGGCCTCTGCCTCCAATAAAAAATCACTGTGGCATCTCTGTATCCTATTTGTGGAAGCCGGGATGGGGATGGGACAGTCCAGCTCACCATCCCCCACCAATTTTGGTTTGGGGAAATCTGTATAGGGGGTCACAGCAGGTAAGGCAAGGGGGAGAGTCCCCAAGGCAGAAGGCAAAAGTGTCCTCTCTTTTCTCCACCCGGGTCCTCACCATCGCCAGAGGGAAGAAACTGGCTGCAGGAAGAAAAGCCCCCTCACCATCAGCACTCCCACACTGGACATCTTTATCCTCCCAATCCCAAGGAGACCCGTAGACAGTGCCAAAAACCAGTTCCAAACCCCAGCGCCTGGGAAAGAGCTAGAAGCTGCCTTTCCTCCTCATTCTGTCTCCCCTCCCCCACCTGGCCAATACTGTGAAGTCCCTTCTTGCTCAGCCTGGGGAGGGTCCTGCAGTCGTGGGCCCTGGGGGACCCCTCAGGAGGGAAGGGACCAAGGGCATCCTTGGGCCAACTATCCACCTCCCCCTTCCACTGTTCTCCCCTCCTCCTCCTCCTTCTCTTCTTCCTACCACTACCCCCATCCCCCTTTCTGTCTTTAAAGGCTCCTTCCTGGGATGGATTGGGTGACAGGAGGACAGCCGTCTAGTCCACCTGCTCTCCTCGCCCTGTGTCTTATTTCAGACATGAGAACTGTACAGTGTAAACTTACAAAGTGTTTTTAATGGTTGTAGATTGGAAATAAAGTATGTCATATAAACGGTTGCCTACTTTCTGCTCTCTGCTTTTCCTTGGAGAGGCTGGTGGGGCCCCAGCAGATTTGAAAAGGACTCCATCCCACCTGGGATTACCTAAGAGGAAAACTGGAGCCAGCTGGCAGGTTTGGAATCAACTAGATGAGGCCACTGGGGGTTCTGGTGGCTCATCGCTGGTAACATCAGTGTCTCTCAGTAAGTGTGTCACCACTACCGAGAAACAAACACAGAACACTCAAGGAGAAAAATAGAACCAGGCTTCTCTATAACACGATTTATTATGGGGGAAAAGACAGTGGAATTAATCATCCCAAATTTATCATATCCTACCAGTGTTATGGGCTGTGAATTTGGGAGCTGGGTAGTTCTATTTCATGGTTTCTGGAGGCTTGCCATCAGATATCAACTAGGCTGTGAGTATTTGCACCTTTGTGTGTTTGGAGATGGAACCCAGGGTCTCTCTCGTGCATTTTAGGTGAACTTTCCACCAGAGAGCTACAGGCCTATGCAGCCTGTATTTCTTGGATTTCTGACTTGAGCTGGAAGATCCCTTTACAAAGTGGCTAATTCATAAACCTGGGAAGTCAGTGCTGGCTATTAAAACAGAGACTCGGTTCCTCAACATGAGGGGGGGCTTGTGTATCCTTACAGTGTGGCCAGCAGCCTTCCTCGGGGCAAGTGATCTTTGAGAGAGCAGGGCTGAAATCACAATGACTTTTATGGCTAAGTCATTTCTAAGATATTTTATTGGCTACATAAACTAACTCTTTCAGTGCAGGAGGCACTACACAGACGCTTTTCACTGTAGGAAGAGTAGGAAGAGACTACACACCAGGAAAAGGGTCCTTGGGGCCATCTTGGAAGCTGCCTACTGTATTTAAGGGGTCATAGTAAAGAAACTGCCGACCTGACCACTCCATGTTATGGTTAAGATTTTTTTGTTTGTTTTTTCGAGACAGGGTTTCTCTGTATTGTTTTGGAGGCTGTCCTGGAACTTGCTCTGTAGACCAGGCTGGCCTCGAACTCACAGAGATCCACCTGCCTCTGCCTCCTGAGTGCTGGGAAGATTTTTATTGTAGATATAAGACAGAACAGCCAGAGGCATCGGGAAGAGTCCAGAGCAGAAAGAGAAAGCAGCAGACTGGACATGGCCAGTGCTAGGGAAATGGGAGAGAATAGTAGAGATTTCGGGGTAGCAAGAGATGGAGAATAGAGCAGAGGGAGAGAGGGGCGGGTGATAAGAGATTAAGTGCAAATAAGAGATAAAGAGAGTAAGTGGGAATAGAGAATAGTGAGTTAGAAGGGAATGAGTAGCTGGGAGTTTAGGGTGAGGTGGAAGTGAGAAGGGCTAGCTAGTGTGGACTCTGAAATGTGTAAAAGGCACTTTGATGGTGAAGGATCCAGGAGGGCAGCATGGGCTTTGCTATGCTGATAGGCACCACAGGTAGATGGGAACCAGTTTTATAAGTTTGCAAGGAATGCTGGTTTCTATTTAACTGCCAGAAATCTTCCGATATTCCAGTTTAAACTCATTTCTGGGTATTTGGACAGCCCGAGACCTAACACCTACTTTTATAGATCTTCTCTTTTATGGGGGTCTAACAACAGCCAGGCCTGTGCCAGACATGGAGGATAAATACAATAGATGGGTGAAGCAGTCCTGCTGCAGCCTGGGTTCAGGCCCTGAGACAGGGAAGGGATGTTGGTGCAAAGAAATGAATTGTCTGATCACTAGATGAGTGTTACACAGGTGGCTGGCCCTGAATATCTCAAGTTGTCTTTATTTATACTTTAAAAATAAGCATGTTTTAGCCGGGCGTTGGTGGCGCACGCCTTTAATCCCAGCACTCGGAGGCAGAGGCAGGAGGATCTCTGTGAGTTCGAGACCAGCCTGGTCTACAAGAGCTAGTTCCAGGACAGCCTCCAAAGCCACAGAGAAACCCTGTCTCGAAAAACGAAAAAAAAAAAAGCATGTTTTTCCATACTAACAAATATGTTTTCCCCACCCTCCGACATTAACCTCCAGCAAAAATAAATATGTCAAATATCTTCCCCACTTTTATATCCAAACATCTTTTTGTTTTTTCAAAACATCTTTTAAACCCAAAACAACACTTAAAAATTTGCCAGCTTGGTCAAATATTGAGCCAGGTACATCCTGTCTTTACAAAAGGTAATAAACATAGGCATATTTTCAAGAATAACAATATTGTTCAAAACTTAACAAAGCATATTTACAGAAATAGGGGTGATCTGCCTCCTTTCCTGTCAGCACTGAATCAGAACAGCTCCCAGGGTATGGAGTGACAGCTGGCATCCCCAGAGAAAAACCCCCAAGGAATTTTACGGGAAAATATTTGAGAAAAATGGGGTTTCCAGGAATGATCACATCTGTCCCATGTGTGACTGACAAAGTGACACTAAAAACTGCCAAGAGAATCATCACTATTATGAGAGAGAAGACAGAGTGTGCAGGCCATGTGGTCCCAGCAGTGTTCTGCACTCTCCCGAAGTCTGCTGCTCCTTGCCAAGAGAGACTGCCCTGGTGGGCTTTGCCTCATCTGGAGGCATAGTGGACAGCCACGTGTATACTGACCCAGCTCCCAACACATGGGCCGGGAACATAAGATACAATCATCAGTCACAGAAGTCGGAAGCCTCTGTGGAGCACACTCAAAGTTGGCATGTTGAGTAAAGTGAATGGTAATGGATTGTAGGTAGGAAACAGAGGAGATGGTTCAGAGAGCGAGCATGCCTGAAAAGCCTAGGAAAAAGGGACAGAGACAGGCACGGTAGCAACATCAATAATCTCAATAGTTGGAAGGGAGAGACAGGAGGGTCAGAAGTTACAGTGTCATCCTTGGCTATATATTGAGTTTGAGGCTAGCCTGGGCTACATTAGAACCTGTTTCAAAATAACCAGAAATGGCGAGGTTTGAACTCAAGAAATGAAAGTTGGATGTGGAACAGGGAAAGGATTTGTATGCATCTTGTAAAGAGGAGGGGCCATGTGAGAATTCAAAGCAAGGAAAAGGCATGGTTGGATGTTGACTGGGTTGCACGAGGCAGTAATCTCAGCGTGACCCAACATGGCCACCCTTGGTTGGAGATACGAAATTCTGCCTTTGGGACATCAACACATGAGGTATTGAATGATGGAGGCGTGGATAAAGGAACTCAGCTCCGGAAAGTAATATTCAGGGACTCAAGAACACACCCCTTTCAGATAGCTGTTGAAACTACTAGGCCAGAGTGGCAGAGTAGAAATTTCTGTAATACACATTCCTACCTTTTACCAGAAAACTTTCAAGGGACCACGATTACAATGGAAGAATGTCTACCTGCCTTTCACTCTTTGGGGACCTTTTTGGGCTTTTTGTTTGTTTTGTTTCGCTTTTGTTTGGGACAGGTTCTCACTCTGGCTGGCCTCAAACTCAAGAGACTCAAGAGATGTGCCTCCCTCTGCCTTCCCAGTGCTGGGACTAAAGGTATGTGCTACTATACCTGGCCCTTTGTAATCTTTTGTACTGCTCTCATTCACAAGATTCTGATCTGAAAGAAATCACTTCATTGATGTACGGGTTGGGGAGGAGGTGGAGCATTCTGTTGGCCCAATACCTTGTCCGGAGGAAGCGGTCTGCTTTGTGGACTCTCCCAGGCAATGGCTTGCGTTGGGTTCCTGGGAGCACATAACATCTGGCCATCAACATGGAAGAGAAGGCAAAGAGCATGCTCTAACAAAGGGGCAGAGCAAGAATTGGCAAGGGGATGGCAGCAGCTGGACTGCCTGTGATGAGGCTCGCTAGGGGTGTGCTCGAATTTTGCTGTGTACTTAAGGGACCATGGGAGGGGCCCGTGGTACAGGAGGAAATAGGCAAGGGACGAAGTGAGCTCAGAGTGACAGTTGTCCCTGGAGAAAGTCACTGTCCACATTTTTGGAGTCAGAGAGAGAGAGCCATGGCCCAGAACACGAGTCCGCACCAGACTCCCTGACTTTCCTAGGTAGGCTGTAAAGCAGCAAAGGTCAGCCAAGTCGTGCATAGGAGAAGCCAATCCCCCCGACTGGGTGTGGCTTGAGAGGTAGTGACCGTAATTGGACAGAAAAATTAGGGACAAGATGGACTGGGCCAGACCCCGGAGTACGCATGCGCTGTGCCGGAGGCGCCGTCCGGCGCTGGAGCACAGAAACTGCTGTCTGCGCACGCGCAGCTGTTTGGCGGGACTTTCGGAAGTAGCGGCGGCTACGCGGGACCGCGAACCGTACTAACGCTGTAGAGAACCCTCTGCGGTTACGCCGAGTTTTCAGAGGTGACCTTGGGCTTTGTGTTTCAGGAACGGGTCGAGGGAGGCGGGGAGGGCTGGACGGGCGTCGCTCTGGGGTCGGAAGTCGCAGACATCTCCCCGGATATGGCTTGCTCTCTCCTGACCCGCCTCTCGGCCCGGCCCACCCGACGCTCCCGGCGTTCCCAGCCCCAGGGCCTCAGAGACTTCCTAGGGTTAGGACAACCGAAGGAAGGTCACTCGTCTCTCCCGGGCACAGCGGTTGCATGGACTCCAGATTGTGGCTGGAGACTGGGCAGAGAGCTGGGTCACAGCTCGGCTTGCATTGCTCCTGTGCCCCAAGCTGGCCTCGTAAGGAGCCTGGTCCTCCTGATAGAGTTGTGGAACGTAATAAATGGGATAGTGATGTAAGAAGGCGTTTGTGTGTCACAGGATCATAAGCGCCTAAATGACTATTATCCAAGCTTGAGTCTATGTAATCTGTCATAAGGACTGGGGTGATTTAGATCCTTGAAGGACCCTTCTTCGTTCTTTGAGTATAGTCCCTCAGAATCTTTTCTTTTCTTTTTAACCAACCCGGGGCGTCTTTTGGGAGGGAGAGATACATGCAAGATAGATGCCAGGCTGTGTCCCTGCCTTTTTTGGGTCAGTTGTCTCTGACAGGTACTGGGGATACGGTGCAGTCTGGCTGGGAAGATAGACCCGTGAATATATTTTGGAGCCAGTAGTATAGAGAAAAGATCTGTGACCTTCATCAAATCATTCAAAAGGATGAGTCTGTTTCATGGTTGGAAGGACAAATGTGTGTAGATATTAAAAAGTAGAATTTCCAGGAATGGAAGGATCTGGAAGCAATAAGAAGAGATGATGTGGGGTTGTTTTGTTTGTTTGTTTAATAGTTTGGAAACAAAGTAGATCCTAATCCCATCGATGGAATTAGAGGGCTAGTGAATCAGTGATCGGTAGCTAAGATAGATTGTGTAGCAAGTTCTGCAAGAGAGCAGTCAGTGACTCCTTCTGATAGTCTTGGAGGAGGCAAGTGAGGGCACTTCAAGCACAAGACCTACTATGGGATTGTGAAGCCCCTATGAGCCTGGAGCTGGAATGTGAAAAGTGATCACCTCATCTTCTGTTTGCATTTCTCCATCCAGGATGACTTCCGTGACCAGGCCAGAAGGTGAGTTTTACGGTGAAATCAGTGCCTCTTGCCTCGGATTCAGAACTTGCCTCCGAACTATCACAGAGCCCATCTCTAGTTCCTGGTAGATTTGGAATCGCACATTGTATATTTGCAAAAAGGCTTCCTCTCTGTTTTCTTCACCAGGGAAATAGATTTGCTTCCCTCCTTCCTTCCTTCTGCCTCGGCTCCCAGGAAGTCGAGACTACCGGTGTATGCCATCTTGTGAGGACATACATTTTCTCTTGTCACCCCTTTGCTCAGATACTTACTTGTGGTAGGTTTTGATTTTATATTTTGACTTTTCTATAACAAATGCTAGAACAGGAACCAATGATGTCTGAGACTCAGGATCATCAGTTGCAATCAAGTCTCAAGCCTTTGGAAGTGTTGCCTAACTCCTCTGACGCCCTGGAGATGACTCAAGGCATTGCAAAGGAAAAAAATCACCTCGGCTGCAGCCACCCTGAAGAGGGGGAAAGTTGTGATGACAACCATCAGGAAGGACTTCAGTTGAGGTCATTTCATTTGTCCCCTCAAGAACAGTCTGTCCGTCATCAAGACAGAAGGCAGTCTTGGCGACGAGCAAGTATGAAAGACATAAACCGGCGGAAGTCACTGGCTCCCTTTCACCCAGGCATCACAGGTGGGGTGCTGTGTACATAAGACTGGAATTCCAACCCAAATAAGAGGCAGTGAGTAATGGATGACAAAGTGTAGCAGAATAGACAAGACTCAGCTACATTTTAGCTGTGCAACTTTGAACATATCACCTCCTTGAGCCTCGGTTTCCTTACCTATAAAAGTGGAAATAATTCTGTGGGCATGTTCTTGTTTATACATCTCAATGCCGCATACCTAGCAAGTGTTCAGTGTTAATTTCCATTTACATATGAGCTGCCATGAACAGAAATTCTAGTTGCTAGTTGTTTAATATGTCATCCTATCTAGGATGCTAGAAATTTGAGTTCTTCCTGTGTCTTATACCTTAAAATGGAACAGAAGGCGAGTGGGTTAATACCTGCCTGATTCTAGCCTTTATAACTGGGAATGACTCAGAAGGAAGATACACATAAAAATGCGTAAGTGGGGATAGGAATGTAGTTCAGTAGTGAGTGAATACTTAGTGTGCCTGAAGCCCTAGGTTCAATCCACAACACTAAAGCACAAAAAGTAAGATTGTTTTTAGGGATTCCATATTTGAATATAATTTGTGATTTTTTTTCTAAATTCACAATCGTTTTATTTGTCAGTATCAAAGTACAGGATTAGCATGCAGAAAGTCTAGTTTGCTCTTGAACTTCACTTCCTTTGTCTTACGTCCTTCTCAGTAAGTGAGGGAAGTAAAACCACAGTACATGGCAATTAGCAGACCCTAAAACGACTGTGATTTCTTTAAGGTGGTTGCATGTGTGGGAGGGATCTGAGTGAAAACAGCCAAGTTAGAAAACTGGTGCCATAGTGCCCCTGCACTTTGCTCCCTAGATGTGCCAAGAGAGTAGCTGTCCAAGACTAGCCCCGCCTTCATTCCCATTCCAGAGCACCAGTTCTATATAGCATGGACTCAACCGTGGAGTAAGATGGATTATTTTTCTGGTTATTCCTGGCTACTTGCCAGGTTTCCTTGGTTGTAGCCAGAAAGAAGCTGGTTAACAGCAGCCAGAATCATTCAAGAAACAAGAATGCATTTAAAATAGGCAGCTGAAGCCAAAGGGCAAGAATTCTTACAGCCAACTTCCTTTACTGTATGATGATTGTTTTTAAATGGGCATAATTGAGAAAAGAGTATCTACAGCTTACAGCTGTGTGGGTCAGTGACATCATTACATAAAATGCCCACCCGATCCATTCTCATTGCTTGCTGTATAGCCTTGAGCAAGGAGTCTGACCAGCCTGTGTGCCACGATTACCGTCTGCTATCAAATAAAATTGATGCCAGCGTAGTCATTCTTGCCCGTGATCCCAGCACTTAGGAGTCTGATGCAGGAGGATTGCCAGGAGTTTAAGACCAGCCTGGGCTACTACATTACAAGACCATGTTTCAAAAAGCCCATATCAAATCAACAGAAGAGACTTGCTTTAAAATTGTCATGAGATGTGCTAGAAATGAAGAAAAACTCTCTGTTAGGCAGCAGGTGTTCAGCTGGTGCTGGCTATTAATATTAGATCACTGCAGGCAGCATGCTACTACTAGGAAGACAAATCTCGCTGGCTTATTTGGGTTTGAAGCATAGCTTCTTCAGTCGGTCTTCAGACAGTTCCCTTCCCTTCCTTGATTGAGTTTCTCCATTTGAAAAGTGGAGCTTATGTTGTTTATTATTTATTTATTTATTTATTTTGGTTTTTCGAGACAGGGTTTCTCTGTATTGTTTTGGAAGCTGTCCTGGAACTTGCTCTGTAGACCAGGCTGACCTCGAACTCACAGAGATCTGCCTACCTCTGCCTCCCGAGTTCTGGGAGCCACCAACGCCCAGCTGTTTATGTTGTTTATAAGAAAACATTTTTTTCTTTTTAGTACTGAAGGTAATATTCAGGACCATACACATTCGAGGCAAGAGTTCATCCACTGAGCAGCAGCCCCTATAGCTCATAGGCCTAAATACTAAAAGCATATTGCAGTGCCTGTTACAAAAATTCCATCTGTTATTTGTGTCTACCTTGTTTGTTTGCTTTTAATTGACATACAAAATGATAAGTTTCATTATATTTTCAATCTACTTTGTTAAACAGAACGAGATTTTACCGTAATACATGAAATGGCTCTAATAACACTCAAAAATTTAGATACAAAAGTGTAAACTTTGTTCTCCAATTAGCCTGGAAAAGTTAGAATTCTCTCCTTACGCAGAAAAGGCACTTCTTGTCTTAAACTGTTAGATTGAGAGGGAGGAGATTTTCCAGTTTTGTTGTCTTGCTAACTGTAAGTGTGATGTTCCTTACATGTTCTATTTTATGCCAGCTCTCAGCAGGTCCATCAGTTTGAAGTTAGCAGAAAGCAAACGGCTTGGCGCTCTTCTGCTCTCCAGCTTCCAGGTGAGATTCCCAGGCTTGAGAAGTATTTTCATTTGCTGTTGTGTTATTATCACAACTTTAAGGAGATCTCAGTATCCATGACGAACTGAGGAAAAGATGTTTTTCCATGGTTGGGATTGACTTAAAAGGCAGTTCTCACTTGGGCAGTTGCACTGTCTTTGTGCTGAGCTCTGCTGTTGCTAGCCGTGCAGCTGAGAGGGTTTTTTTTTTTTGTTTGTTTGTTTTTAATGAATCTTTGTTTATTATGTACATAGTGTTCTGCTTGCATATATGCTTGGGTGCCAGAAGAGGGCACCAGATCTTACTATAGATGGTTGTGAGCAACCATGTGGTTGCTGGGAATTGAACTCAGGACCTCTGGAAGAGTAGCCAGTGCTCTTAACCTCTGAGCCATCTCTCCAACCCAGCAGCTGAGAGATTTTGCAGTATCTTTTACTAATTGGCAGCAAGTGATGAGAATAAATTGGGTAGAGGTCAAAATCTGTTTCTGTAGGCATTCAAGGCTGACTACAAGGCAGACTAATGTATGAAGTATATGATTTTTGTGTTGTTGGTTGTTTTTTTTTGTTGTTGTTTAGTTTTTCAAGACAGGGTTTTTTTTTTTTTTTTGTATACCCCTGGCTATCCTAGATCTCACTCTGTTGACCAGCCTGACCTCAAACTCACAGAGATGTGACTGCCTCTGCCCTGTGTAGTTTCATCATAAGTTCATTCTAAGCATCGTAAAGCCATGCACAGCTTGCCTGGGGGACTTTGGTGGTTGTACTGAAAATGTTTTCCTTTATTTAGTTCTCTGTTGAGAAACTGGAACCTTTCCTAAAGAGCACTAAGGACTTCAGCCTTGAATGCTTCAGAGCCAAAGGTGAGTTGCTAAGCACAGACAAGTGCTTTGGCCTTGACCTATCTCTCTTTTGGAGCCAGCCAGTACATTTTCAGTGGCCTTTTATAGAAGATGCTTCCTCCTTAAAACCAGGTCCCTAACCTCTTTAAAAATTGTCACTTCTGTCTTGAAAAACTAAAAAAAAAATTTGTCCCTTCTTACTACGTCTGTAATGCTTTCTCTTCAGTGATAGCTCTGGAAAAAGGTGAAATTGTATAGCTATCTCAGTTAACTGCCTTTTCATAAGAATAAAAACACAAAGTTTCCTTCCATTTAGCTATCTGTCCAATAAAAGGATAAATTTGTCTTTTATACTTTTGTTTCCCCCCCATATTAATTACTGTTCTCTTACTGTGATAAAACATCAAAACCAAGGCAACTTATAAAAGAAAGTATTTAATTGGACTTACAGTTTCAGAGAGCTAGAGCCCATGATAGGAGAGCAAAGGCATGGCAGCAGTGACATCTGAGAGCTCACATCTCAATCTGCTGGTAGACAGCAGAGAGCACACTGGGAATAGCGCAAGCCTTTTGAAACCTCAAAGCCCACCCCTGGTGACACAGCGCCACCAACAAGGCCAAATCTCCTAATCCTTCCCAAACAGTAGCACCAAGTGGACACCAAGTATTCAAACATGAGCCCATGGGGGCCATTCTCATTCAAACCCCACAGCCATCCCTTTGGTCCTGGGTACCAAACCCAGGACCTTGAGCTTGCTAGGCAAGTTCTCTACCATGAAGCTTTGAACCCCAAAGATAAAATGTTTGCATTTGCATATTTACATAACTTTTGTGTGAATGAGAGGGCCAGAATGGGATGTGGGGCACTAGACTTAGGAACTCCTTAATATCTTTGTCATGTGCTCATTGTGAACATTTGTAGTCTTTTTATTTTCTAACATAATTTATCCTCTCTAGTATCTTCTCTCTCTGAAGAATTGAAACATTTTACAGACAAGCTGGAAAGTGATGGAACTCTACAAAAATGCTTTGTTGAAGATTCAAAAGAGTAAGAACAATTCCCCTTCTGTCCTTAATTATAACTGAGCTAAAACTTGATTATAATTAAGCCATTGTTTACACAATAAACATTTATCTATCACCTATGTACCACCACTCTCTTTAACTATTTATTTTTGCTTCTTGAGATAGGGTCTTTGTAGTCCAGACTGGACTCAACCTTTTGGCAATCCTTTTACCTCTACCTTCCAAGTGCTGGGGTTACAGGTGTGAGCTGCCATCTTTGGCTTGTACCAGGCTCTTCTAGATGACAAGGAAGGGAATATAGTGATCAATGAGTCAAGTCCTTCTTGTCATGTTTGTATTAGAGGAGATAATATGCAGAAAAAATTCAATCTTAGCTAGTGATAAACCAGGAAGCCAGCAAGTAGGATACTGATGTTGGGAGCAGGAACATGCTAGAGTTTTGAGAAAAGATCCCTAATGGTTTTATTTTGGGACTGGAACACAAAAAACCTGGGTAGTGAGAAGGAATAGCTGTGGAAAGATTGAGGAGGTCATTCCTTAGATCTTTGATTGTCATGCAGAAGGCAGTTCTTGTTCTTGTATTTTTGGTTGTGAGCCTAGCCTTTAATGGCTGAGCCATCTCGCCAGCCTGGCAACTCTGGTTCTAATGCTTTTTGCAAGACAGACTATCAGCAGAATGCAAGATAGCTCAGTAGGTAAAAATGTAAGAGCTCTTGCTGCGTAAATTGATATTCTCATTTCTACCCACACTTCCCTTTGAAGGATGCAAATCCATTGTTGAAAGTTGTTTTTTGGGGCTGGAGAGATGGCTCAGAGGTTAAGAGTACTGGCTGTTCTCCCAGAGGTCCTGAGTTTAATTCCCAGCAACCACATGGTAGCTCACAGCCATCTGTAATGAGATCTGGTGCCCTCTTCTGGCCTCCAGGCAAACATGCAGACAGAACACTGTATACATAATAAAAATACCTTAAAAGAAAGTTGTTTTTTGTACACACTCTGTCATACACACCTACACATGTGCATGTGCACACACAAATACAATAATGATAATAACAATGAATACAATTTAGTGTTAAAAGGACATCACCCCAAGCCAGGCAGTGGTGGCACACACCTTTAATCCCAGCTCTAGGGAGGCAGAGGCAGGCAGATCTCTGAATTTGAGGCCAGCCTGGTCTACAAAGTAATACAGAGAAACCCTGTCTGTGCTGGGGGGGGGGGCGGCACTACAACACATCACCCTCTAAATTGGTAGTCCTTCAGAGGTGAGGCTGCCATCACAACTCCACCCTGCCACAGGTCATGTACTTGGTTTGAATTTGGAATTTTTGCACAGTCTGCCCTTTCACAAGTTCTTAAGAGTGACATTTCTAATCAGACACAAAGTATTTTAGCTCAACAAAATCTCTTTGAATGTATGTGATTACAGTCTGCTGCATCTCTCCTAGAGATACTGTGTACAGGCCTTGGCAGAAAAACAGGAATTGTACCACTACTAGTCCGTATTTGTCAGGTGGAAAACCAAGTGTATCTGTGATACTTTGGCATTTTTAGTGCGTGCTTCTTTTTCATTAGAAATAACCATCTAATTGAGCTGAATTGAAAGGAGCCAGAACACAAAGTCTTAAGAACCAAGTTAAAGGATTTTGTCTTTTATTTTGTTTGCAGTAGTCATGGAGTTTTGAAGCCAGGGAGAAAAGTAAAGAACTATTTTTAGAACGGTTAATCGCCATGGTATGAATTGGGGGTGATAAAAAAACAGATTTAAAAACCATTGGTCATTACTAGTGCAAAAATATTTTCTGAACAATAAATTATGAATCTATTTAAGTACCACTAAAATTATGTAAGACATTAAAAGCAATTGTTTGTTGAAGGATTCATATTAATCTTATAATATTATCTGTATTCCAGAAAAGCACCAGATTTTTCACTTGAAACATCAGTGGCTGAGGTGAAAAAATATATAGCAAAGTAAGTAAAATGAGTGAGCTTTTCTTAGAAAACTGAACTTTGTTCTCCATCAGGGAAATAACTGAGCCTGGAGAAAATGCCTGGTAAACCTAGTGGACGACACTTGTATGTCAGCTCTAGGACTGGAAGGCTATGAACAGCCCTGATAGACAGGGTGCAGTCAAGGAATAAGGATGCTAATTTGATTTTAACAGCTTGTTTATTACTTGATTAAATTAATATCCTCTGAATCAGTTGAGCTTTCTAATCCTTTAATGACTTTTTAATGCCTTTTATAACCAGATTACAAGCCTAAAGTACTTATTGTTGCCCTGAGTAATTAAAATATGACCAGAAATTAACTGAACTTCCCTTCCTGAATTCCACAGATTTTCTTTAGAACGTCAGACTTGGGATCAGCTCTTACAACAGTACGAGAGGGAGATTCCACCCGAAGAGATGACCAGGTTAGATCCAAGAATTGGAACGAAGCAGCTTTGTGCTCTTTTTGCTTTGTGGAGTTATTTGAGTTTATTTCAAATCCATTTGTACAAACAGTGATGAATCTGTTCTCATAGTTCAGTCAACTTTAAAGTATCTGTTTTCTTTAATGGAAAGGAAAGGACAAAAATGGAAGGCTAAGTATCACTGTTTTCAGACCTAGAACAGAATTGCTTCTATGTTGTGCTTTTGGCTATCATTCATGTCCCCATGGAGATGGGCACATAGCTTTCCTTACACCTGTTCACCTGGCACTGGGCCAACATTAGTCCCTAAGACACTGTAGGGAACATATGGCCTCTGAGCTGTAGATAGGAGAGAGTCCCTTGGTAAGGCCTTGATGAAAGCACAAAGCCATGAAGGGAATGGAAAGGAGGTCTAAGATAGAAGAAGCCATCTTTAGCGAGGTGAGTCAGAGGAAGGTGCGAAAGCACTAGATTTTGGTTAACTTCAACATCTGAACTGGTTTTATTAATTTAAAATATAGTCCACTAGGCAGCCAAGGTTGGTCTCAAATCCCCATGTGTACCTCAAATTCACAATCCTCTTGTCTCAGTTTCCCAATTGCTGGGATTGTAAGTGTGCAGCACCAGAGTCTCCCAGCTGGTATTTGAAAGCTTTTTGCCCCCACAATAAAATTAAGTGAAATCCTAATTATAGAAGGCTTTGAGGAACATGATTTTTGAGGTGATTTTCCTCTCAAAGGAATTGTTTTATATTATCTCCAGAAAATGATTGTAAATGCCAAGAAAATTCATTATTTTTGTTGTTGTTTTTAGAGGATCGACTCAAACCAAAATCACTGAAGTCAAGGTGGAACCTACAACTTATCTTGGGTCTTCCCAGAAGGAAGTCCTTAATACAAAGCCCGACTACCAGGAAATCATACAGAATCAGAACCGAGTGTTTGCCTGCATGGAGTTAGTGGTCAGTGCTTCAGGCTTTTTATGTGGGTTACCCAGCCTTCTAGACTTGCCATCTCTTTCAGTATTATGTATGACATTTTGAAAGGATACCGAAATGACTTACAAGGAGGAATCGGTTATTTTGGCTGCTAATTTCAGTCCGTGGTTGTCTAAATCCTGTTGATTTGAACTGTGGCCATGCGATAGATTGTGGTAGGAACATGTGATGGAAGAGACTACTCCCCTTATGATGATGGGTAGCAAGAGGGGAGAGAGAAAGGGTCAGGTCCTAACAGCCACTTCATGTTCGCAGAAACATAAATTACTTCTAAAGGTAGTTTAGGTGACACTTGAATAGCAGCAACCAAGCCTTTTAAGGTGCAAACCTCAGGAAGACACTCCAAATACAGGTTAAGGCATAATCTTTGGATGTGTAGCAAGGATATCAACCTCTCTACCTTAGGGAAAAATATTAAGTAAATATGTAATGTTAAGTGCTAGTAAAAGGGGTAAAGAATCCAGGAAGAACAGTGACTGCTATTGTACACACAGTGGCTATTAGCTCCTTTGTCATTATGCTCAAACAAAACCTAAAGTACTTGGCATCTTGTTTGCAGAGGTTTGAGGGTCAATCTCCTGGGGCATGGAGCAAACTGGAGAAATGTGTGTGGTTAAGTGGGTGCCAAGAGAGAATGCCTGGCATAAGCATTCCAGGCAGAAAGAGTAGGTCTACAGCTCCAAAGCAGAAGCTTGCTTGGCAGTATGGGAAGTCAGAGAACGTCCTGCAGCTCATACTGACCTTTTTTGTCTGCAGATGGATGAGCTACAAGGATCGGTGAAGCAGCTACAAGCCTTCATGGATGAAAGCACTCAGTACCTCCAGCAGGTGTCAGTACAGCTCAGTAAGTGCATCACTTGAGGGGACCAGAGCTCAGGGTCATCTGTGTCCCCTTTAGGATATAAGCTGCCTCTCCAGGCAGAAGGTCCTCAGACTTACACCATATGACTTGCTTTACTCCCCATAGTAAGTTGAATGCTGATACAAATGCTTCATGTAAATTCCATACAAGCACTCCACAAAGATACCCACTGCTTTAATTTTCAAGAATGAATGAAATAAAACTGCAGGTGCTTTCCCATAGATTTTCCTGGCTTCCACTGTCCATTTTCTTAATATCACACTGAACTGCCTTTCCTACATGACTGCCGTCTCCTTGAGAACAAAGACTTTCTTCTGTATCATTTACTGCCCTTCACTATCTGACACAGTGTCCATATGTAGTTTCCAATAACTGAAATGTACCTTTTGGCTCCTTTCATCTGCAGAGAAGAGAAGCATGGAGCAATTAGATACTTCACCTGCTCGAAAACTGCTCAGACTGCACCTGCAGAAGTCATCTACCACACAGTGATCAGGATCTCGTCATCATCGTCGTCGTCGTAGTTTCTGCTGTGAGCTGCTGGGGAGAGGCCAGGGAAGAGTGCCTCCGCAAATGGCAGCCTCACAGTGGTTTCCTTAAAGCTGGGCAATTCAACCGCAGAGCACTTTCACTGTTTGAGTGACAGCATGTATACATCCAGAAGGATGTTGTTAGAGACACTTTCTGTAGGGATGTGCAAGATGCTTGAAATGACCCTCAGAACCAGTGGCCCATTGCTTTAAATGTCCTCATGGTCAGCACTTTTTATCCCATGAAGATTTGTCGAGTTTTAAAACATCCCAAAGACATTTAAATCCAACCTTAATGAAATGTTTTTGGGGCCAAATTGGGTTCTTGTCATAAAATAATGAAGCTAAAGTTTTCGAGTGTGGCACTAAAGGTGGAGCTTAGAATGTTGTTGCATAATGGGTATATCGGGTCACTTCACAAAATGCCCATTTTCTGAAGTATCCTAATGTCTGTAGTATGCTTTAGTTTTTAATATTGAATTAACCTCCTGCAATCTAAATTATTGCAAGAAAGGGCTGAAACGATTTAATTTTTTTCCTCTGGAAGTTCCCCTCTGCTCCCCTAAGAATCAACCCCAGGGCTTTAGATGTTCTAGGCAAACATTCTCACTGAGTTTCATCTTAATAGTCCCCATATTTGACTTTTTTTTTTTTTTTTTTTGGTTTTTCAAGATGGTTTCTCTGTGTAGCTTTGGAGCCTATCCTGGCACTCGCTCTGTAGGCCAGGCTGGCCTTGACTCACAGAGATCTGCCTGCCTCTGTCTCCCGAGTGCTAGGATTAAAGGCATGTGCCACCAGTGCCCGGCCTTGACTTTTTTAAAAAACATTTTATTTATTATGTATACAGTGTTCTGCCTGTGTGTACACTTGCATGCCAGAAGAGGGCTCCAGATTTCATTACAGATGATTGTGAGTCATCATGTGATTGCTGGGGGTTGAACTCAGGAACTCTGGAAGAGCAGTTAGTGGTCTTAACCTTTGAGCCATCTCTTCAGCACATATTTTACTTTTAAAAAATTGTTCTATTTACTGAATGGTGCCTAGAACATAATAGTCCTGTAAGCTATGATTAAAAACTTTGTGTTGTCATTTCCTGTGACTGAGGAGCAGTTACTTAACCTCTTATCTAGAACATTGGAAGTATGTTAGAATCTGTTTTAAGGGCACTGTAAGGACTTTAGATAGTAGAAGCCTAGAACAATATTATCAGTTTATTGCTGAATCCTTAAAAATGAGTAGATGGGAAAGCTAATGTCTAATTTGGAATATCATATGGAGAATTCAAGCAGACTGCTATATATACAGGTGGAGACCTGTGTAGTAAAGTCTAAATTAGAAATAAAATTTTAAAGTTATACCTAGTTATTGAAGATTGAGGATTGTATTGTTCAAAGTAAAACAGAGGAAATTTCAAACAGTCTCCAAGAAAATCAGTATTTAGAAGTCAAAGATGGTATTATTGACTATTGTTCAAAGCATAGAAGTATAACAGGGTATAAACTTTGGGGCATATCTTAATCTCATCGGTTTGCTCTGTCAAAAGGAAAAATTACCTGTCTTCAAAGGTGATTCTGCCTTCCTCCATTTTATTACATTCTATCACGTTTTATTTGTAAGCGTTCAAAATTGAAGATAGGAAATGCATTGGTTGTCTTCAACTGCTTAAAAGGGCTAGAACATTAAAGAAAGAAACCTAAAACACTAAAAACTTAAATCTCAGCACTCAAGAAGTAGAAGCAAGAGAATCAGGAGTTGGAGGCCCTCCTTGACTACGTAGCAGATTCTAGGCCAGTGGACTATATTAGACCCTGTCTCAACAATGCTACTGAGTTCTAAGCATTCATAGTGCTTACCACAGCTTTATGAGAGGCTTTTTTGTTTCTTGTCATTCATAGAACTTTGGAAATGTTTCCTAATTTAGCAGAGGATACATAGGTAGCGAGAGTGAGCTGGCATCAGTTCAGTACTTAGTAAATGTTAACAATTAAATATAAATCATATAATAAAAGGCTTCATTCAGATTGGTTTGGGAATAGTGCCTGATTAATAACAATGAAGATTTCTGAGTTTGGAGCCAACGTGGTTCTACATAGTGAGCTCCAGGACTACATGGAGAGACCCTGGCTCAAAAAAAAAAAAAAAGTTTGGTTGTATTTATTCTTTCTCCAAGAATAATGATCTTTAGTTAATTATACCTAGTGTTAATAAGATGATAGGCTAATAAACTCTTGAGAGAAATTATGTTCTGTACATTGGCTGCATAGCAAATTCTAGGCTAGTATAGTATCTTGGGGTTTCTAATACTGTGATAAAACACGGTGGCCAAAATCAACTTGGGGAAGGAGTTTGTTTTATTTTACATGTCTAGGTAACAGTTCATCACTGAGAGAGGATGGCAGGAACCTGAAGACAGGAACTGTTAACAGGCCATAGAGCAGTTGTTCTTAACCTTCCTAAAAGTATGACTCTTTAGTACAGTTCCTTGTGTTGTGGTGACCCCAACCATAAAATTATTTTGTTGCTACTTCATAACTGATTTTGCTACTTTTATGACTCACAATGTAAATATCTGATATGCCACCCGCAGGTTGAGAAGTACTGTCACCAGCTTGCTCTCTCATGGCTTTCTCGGCCTGCTTTGCTACACCATCCAGTACCACCTGCCCACAGCCAGCTCGGCCCTCCCTGGTCAGTCGTCAGACAAGAAAATACACTACGCAGACCAAATTGGTGGGGGTATTTTCTTAACTGAGATTCTCTCTTCCCAAATGACTCCACTTCATGTCAGGATGACATAAAAGTGGCCAGCACATATAGGCTACACGTACATTTTGATTCTGGTCTGGAGAAATGGCTTAGTGGCTAAGAGTGCTTACTGTTCTTGCAGAGGATGGAGTTGGTGTCCAAGTCCCTAAATGGTGGTGACTCAAACATTTTGTAACTCTAGCCCTTGGGGAAATTTGCTACATTCATGCACACCACCACAACCCATAATTAACAATGAAAGTTTTTAATTGTTGAGTCATTAACTTAATATGTACCGTCACTTTTTGTAGTGTAACCCATCTCTCATACTCAAGAAAGCTGCCATTTGTTAAGAGACGAAAGAGAACTAGGAATTTGAACTCTTGAGACTCGAATTCTAGCTCGTGTAGCTTTAAACCTTGTTAAAACAAGTATGTCATGGACCTTAAAGACTTACTAATAATTTAAACAAAAGCAATAGGTCGGCGGTGTGCAGACTGAACATTTCACATCACCTTAGGGCAGTTCCGAGCCATAGCCTTTGAGACGCCGCTAGAAGAAAAACTACAGTCAAGATGGAGCTGCTAGGCTCTCCAAGCCTGGCCACCATCTTTTCTGTAGTTCCCAGGGCAAGCGAGCACATCGCGCATGTGTAAACCCCCGACATCGTCAACGCGCGTGCGCAGCGCAGCGCAGCGCAGCGCCTCCCCCCGCCCCTCGTAGCTACTGCTGCTGCTGCAGCTGCTGTTGACTGACGGCCCGCGCTATCGCTTCAGGTGAGTGAGTGCCTCAGCCACAGCGGCCGGAGGTCGCGTGGCGCGGTACACCCCGGTGTCGCTCCCCTGCTTCTGTGGGCCGGTGGCCACACGGCAGGCCCCGGGTCCTCGCCGTCGGCCTCCTCCGAGCCCCCGGCGTCTTACGCGTTCAGCCTGGCCTCCCGCGCCCCTGCCGGCACCTAGCCCGCGGCGGGCAGCGTATGCCCTGCAGGGGTCGAGCCTCGCTCAGGAGGCCTGCACCCTCTGGCGTAGGGACCCTCCGAGGGTGTCATCGTCCTTCCAACTCCTATGGCACAGCTCGGAGCTCCTAGATCTGAGCATCCGTCTACCCCGCTGCCCCTCACAGCCCAGAGAGTTTTGACAGTGGCCTTGACTCGCCTTGGGTGGGTTCCGTCCCAAAGCCACAGAGGTCTCCCTGTCTCCTGGGACCCCACGACCCCGGTTTGCGTAAAGCCCAGTTTGTAGTCAAGGAAACTGAGACTCTGGGAGGTGACAGGCCATGTCCAAGGTCATGGAACTGACAAGCGACACCACCAGCTCTCTTAACTCAGGGGCTTTGGGGCTTTCACAACCAGCGCTGGTGGAATTTGATCTTTTATCTTTACTTTTTTTTTCTGTAAATACACTTGTCATTTCTAGAGTAGCTTTTAGACGTCGTAAAAGTGGGCTACGAATAGAATAACCTTCTTGTCAGTACGGTGGAAGTGCTGTTGTGATGACAATTGCGATGTTAATATGAGCTGGCTCTCTCCCAAATACTCGCTTTGTGCCAGTATCTCGCTACGCGTTTTATTAAGATCACCTTTGTACCTCACTGCTTTCCCATCCAATGCTTCCCCCCTTCTTTTCCTTGAAGCTTTTCCTCCCCTGCAGAGCTCTCCTCCCTGTCACAGGTAGACTTGGAGCCTTATTGCTTAAACAGGGAGGCTCTCCCATAGTGGCTCCCAACAGAACATAAGCTATGCTTGAATCCACCCCTCCAGCCCACACCCTCAGCACCCCAGGTATAATTAGCCTTTTCTAGCTGCCAGGACTAGGCTAACTAACTGGGGTGCCTGGACTTGTGGAGGTGACAGAGCAGATTTAGCCAGCACTCACCTCCTTTGGGGACTTTCTGGCACTGCTCCAGAGCTGTTCTTGAACATTTTCAGGCTTTAAGATAGAACGGGAAGGCGTTGACACGGGTGATACAGACTCTAAGACACCTCCTTTGATTTTAGTCCCAAGTGAACAGCTATAAAAATGTGTTGATTTTGCCCCCAAAATAACTAGCTCAAACTGCCTTTTCCTTCCTTAGCAAATCCTCCTCCACACTTCAAAGACTCCACAGAATTTCCACCTTCCTTGTAAAGCCCTCACTGCTTCCCAACTAGAACTAGATGCGGGTCTGCATCTTACCTTCAGGACCTTCCCCTGCATGTCAGGCACCATCTTTGCACCTCTAGATGCCAGGCTCCTGTAGACCCTTGGTAAATACTGAATTCCCACTATTCCTTGTTCTTACTCAAAGGGTAATGTTCTCTTGTTGTTGTCCTGCTAGTCCTGTTGTCCTTCAATTTCTCTTTGCTGTCCCTCCCTTTGGATTTATCTTTTGATTATCCCCACTAATCCTTAGTCTACCATTTTGTTTTTGAAAGTTTGCAGATAATTAATGGTCTTGCATCTAGAAGTCTCCTCAACAGTGGAGCTGGTATAGGCTTCTGTAGCCTACAGGTCAGTTTTTATTTTTGTGTGGCAGTAGGAGTGAGCGCCTGAGGCTTGTGACATTTTAGTCTGTACTGAAGTTCATGTGAGATGCAGCTCTTTCATTCTTCTGCCTTGTGTGACTTATTACTCTGAGTGACATCAGAGTGAGTATAGTTTTTATTGTATATAAATACATGGTTTTAATAACAATAATATTCACAAGGCCCTTTTGGGGACAGCAGATATATGTGCATAGGTTTTCTTCATAAGTGAAGCTGCTACTGCTTTTGTTT